TCTAAAGATGTTGTTTTAGAAGACATGACCTTCTTTAGTTCGGCATCATCTCGTTGTAAGTTTGAGAGACGTTCGTAGTCGATGTCTGGGCATACAATGTTGTCAATGTGCACACGTGATAAAGCGTCTGCCACTTCATTGTTTTTACCCTTTACGTGTCGCAGATCGGAGGTGAACTGAGATATAAACTCGAGATGTCGTAGTTCACGAGGAGAGTAGTTATCCTGTTTTGCTGATAAGGCTTTCGTTAGAGCTTTATGGTCTGTAAAGACAGTAAAAGCTGTACCTTCCAGCATATGTCGGAAGTGCTTGATTGCTAAATAAACAGCCAATAACTCTCTACCAAAAGTGCTATAGCGACATTGAGTAGGATTCAGTCGTTTCGAAAAGAATGCTAGGGGTTGCCATTCGCCGTGTACCTGCTGTTGTAAAACTGCCCCGATGGCAACATCTGAAGCGTCTGTCATGAGAGACAGGGGGCGTCATTCTGGCGTCTGACTAGGAGTGTCTTGTCATTTAACAATTGTTTGACATTTTCGAATGCTTTAACAGCTTCTGTGGGCAAATGGAATGAACGACTATGTCCACGTAAGCAATCGGTTAGCGGTTGTAAAGCTTTAGCACATTTCGGGATAAAACGCCGGTAAAAATTAACAAGACCCAAAAGTCGTCGTAATTTCTTAAAAGAATCTGGTAATGGATAATCTTTGATAGCTTGTACGTCATCAGGGACTGGTCTGATTCCTTGGCTATCGATCAAATGACCGAGAAATTTCAGTGAGGTCTTACCAAATTCGCATTTGTCTAAGTTGATAGTCATACCGTATTGGTTAAGTCTTTCAAACACAGTCTTCACATGTTTCAAATGCTCGGCTTCGTCTGCACTTGCAATTAGTAAGTCGTCGATGTATGCGTAGACGAAAGGGAGACCACGGAGTACTTGGTCGATTAGGTGTTGAAATGTCTGAGCGGCGTTCATCAGTCCGAAAGGCATGCGTACGAATTCGTATAAGCCAAATGGTGTGGTAAAGGCGGTTTTCGGAACGTCATCCGGGTGGATGGGGATATGATGATGCGCTCTGATAAGATCGATTTTAGAGAAAGCTTTAACATCTGTTAAGTTGCTAGCGAAATCGTGGATGTGTGGTATTGGGTATCGATCAGGTACCGTTTGCTTGTTTAAAGCTCGATAATCACCACACGGCCGTATTTCACCAGAAGACATTTTAGGTACCATGTGAAGCGGTGAAGACCAAGAGCTGTTGGACGTTCGAATAATACCAAGCTCTAGCATTTTATCGAACTCTGTTTTGGCGATTTTAAGTCGATGTGGGTCAAGGCGTCGGGGACGTGCAAAAACTGGTGGTCCAGTGGTTTTAATATGATGAACCACATGATGCTTCGGTTCTGTTCCTCGAAAAGAAGGTTGTAAAAGGTCAGGAAACTGATTTACCAAATTGTTATATGGAGATGCTGGTGTGTGTGACCATCAAGTTCAGTGATGATGCACGGCTAATCGTACCAGCAATGTACGTTTTATTGAGCGAGTCTATAAGCTTGGGGCTCATCGGATCAACTAGCAGTTTGTGTTGCTGTAGAAAATCGATACCAAGGATTGGGGATGGGACGTCTGCGATGATGAACGACCAAGTGTAAGTATTCTGCAGACCAAAATCCAAAGTCATTCGTTTACTTCCATATGTAACAATACTGGACTTATTAACAGCTTGGAGCGTAACTGCTGGGTCAGGATGTTGACGTTCCTGGGTAGACGGGGGGAGAACACTCACCTCTGCTCCTGTGTCGACTAAGAATGTAGTACCGGTATTTTTATCTGTTACATAAAACAAACGACTGTTGGATCGTAGGTTGCCGACAGTAGAAGTTTTCGCACAAGACGATATATCTTTTGGTTTAGTCTGAAAGTTGCAAGGCGAACGGCACCGTCGTGCATTGCTTCCATAACTACGGTGATACCAGCAAATACTATCGCGATGTCGTAACGTGCTAGGGGATCGAGAAAGACGTCGACGAGACGAGCTTCTAGAACGGCTTGGTTGTGTGCGTGTAGTCAGTTTTGCTAACTGACTCAGTAAGGTGTCGACTTTGTGTTCTAGAGTCTGTATTCTATCGTGAGTGTCTGGTATTCTGCTAGTGGAAGCGACAGATTGAGGTGTTGACCTCTCGTAAATGCGATCCGCGATTTCGGCGAGCCTTTCTATGTCAATGTCGTCGTCTCCGAAAGCAAGAACCTGCTGGATGTTTGCGGGAAGTCTTCGTAGCCATATTTGGTAAAAGAGACGTTTATCGATTTCTCTTCCGGCAACTAGGCTTTGCGTATGCCTCATGAGTTGAGATGGGGTTTTATCACCTAACTCAACATTGCTTAACAGGCGATCGAGTGCTTGTCTATCTGAAAGCGAAGTGCATCGCAGTACCTCTTCCTTCAACTTGTCGTAAGGTGCTTCTGTGCTGGGATGAACGATGTATTGCCGTACCTGCTCGGCGACTTCGTCTGGGAGTACTGTACTCAAAATGCCAAATTTGGCTGTCTGTGACGTGAGCTTATTGCTAGCCAAATAATGTTCCAGCCGTGCAAACCAAAGATGAGGGTCTCTGGGCTTAAAAACTGGTACAGTAAGAGAAATAGTACTAACAGATCCCAGCTCTAAGTTATCAGAGGTATTGGAAGACATGTTACAATCCGTAAAAAAATGGTTTAAGAGTAGCAAAATAGCAAAATTTGTGCACAATAAGAATATGGCAAAACAGAAAAACATGCAATGCAGGTGCTTACCACAAATTACTGCAGGTTGTGCTATGAGCAAACACAAGAATGAGTTCGAATTGTTTAATAAATATATAAATCCGCGAAAGTTAGAGTTTTAATAATCCAGCCAGTGTAACGACGGGTCGAGGTCAAAAAGTCGTCGTCGGAGTCAGCAATTTATCGTCGGGCTCACCAATTTGTGGCGTGTTCTATTTGACTAAATTAGCGTACACGTATTTTCTAGTACTTCTTCACGTTTATCAATGTGCGCAGACGTTGTGGCTACTCGACGCCCACAACGTAAAATCAGAAGGCACTTGTGAAGAGTATAATCGTGTATTATAGCAGTAGTCAAATTTCGAAATTGTATCCAGGTAACGTTCAACAGTAAATTGACAAATGTTTACGAAGTACATATAAAATCGGTATGTGTAAACATATAATATGAGTATGCAAATTAGATTAAAATCGTATGTTTATAGTTGGTACAGGGGTAATACATACTCAATATAAATGAAACACCACCAAATGAACCTCAAAATATCATTGAATTTTGCATACCAAGAGCCTATACGCTGCAGGGCGAAGAGTGTTGGTTTTATTCACTTTTTAGCCCTATGACAAAAATTACACATTTTCTACAGATTTTGTTTCAAATGGCGTCTTTGTTCAGCAATACACTACTTTGCAGTGTGAAATCACCTGTTCGTTGCTGCATCTTCTTACTCTCCACTACTGTTTGTGTGCCAGTACTAATTCTCTGGTACTTACATTGGAATTCCCAGGAATCATCACATCTTCATCCAAAATGAACTCGACCACACTTTTAGTGACGTCTGTAGTCGAGTAAATTATCACAGAAGCCTACCTATTTGCCTTACCCCCTAGATTACATAATTTAAACTGTGGAAGTTGAACCTAATTGCAAGTACCTGTAACTTCTTGAAGTGTTTTAGAGGCTGAATGTGTTGACGTTCGCGGATAGTGCGAAGTATAGTAAAGCAAGGTATAATACCAACAACTTCTATAGTATTCGTTCCGCTTAGACCAAATGCGAGGCAAAACACCAGAATTGACAGTCCAAATTACGAATAATGCTTCGAGACCAAATCGGAACGCGAGATGACTGCTTAACTAGCTGGAGATCATGCACGAACGAACGAATGTAACACGATGGCATGGATGCTTGACCGTAAGCCTTCAGCTAAACAAGTCGACTCAAACAGTGAGGATCAGCGTCCAATGTTCAGTGATGAATACTGTGGCTAATAATTCTGGGGAATTTCCTACCGCTATAATGTCCTTACCGTAACAACTGTAATATACAGTTGGAGTAGCATAACTAATGAACCTCTCTTATTTCGATACTTTGTATAATAACTGAGTTTTGGTTTGGTCTACTACAACGTCAACCAAGACCAAGCTTTTCGGCCAAGGAAAGTGAACTAACAGGAAATTCAAGCTCTTTGAACGATAGATAGTGTAGTTTTCTTCGGCATTACTAATTCAATTAACCAATTTTATTAATGATTGTTTTATTCCCTTTATTGTTGTTACTGAAGCTGATGTCGTTGCACACCAATAAGGACACATGCACAGAATGGGTGTGGATGTATCACAAAAAGAGTAAAGTTGAAATAAAAGACAAAGTTCAGTTTCTTCCGATGGGTTTTTCTCAGAACAGAAATTTAAAGCAATATTTTTTTTATCAAATGAATGTGTATTTCATTTCGGGTTGTGAAAATTTATAAATCTATTTATTTTGTTTCAAAAATTATCAAAATACATAATTTTCTGGTTTCGCTCGATTACCACCTTTTTTACGAGGAAATTACTTTAGGTATTAAAGTAGTTTTGGATCGATGATAATATAGAAAAGCAAACGTATCTGATTTCAACACTTCACATTATTCAATATTTTTGTGGTTTAAAAGTAACTCTAGCCGAAGGACTACTTCATATAATTAAGGAATAAAATTAATCCCATAAGTAACAGTGTAAATAAAATTCCAGTATCTGTATTGAACACATTGATAGGCATCAGAGGGAATATTGAAATGAAGCATAAACAAACACTGTGTGATGTATTCAGTCAGGTGCAATGGTATTGCCAATGTGAAAAAATGGAGAAAAGAGAATAGGACGAAAGTAAGCCGCCAAACGAACTTTTAAACAACAAATAGAGTTAAGTAAATTGGTAGGCATTGAAACGTTGAATGTGCATAAAAGGCTTTAAATGAAAGTCAGTTTCTGCCAATGTTTACCTCGGTGTGGGGAAGAAAAATAACTCTGAAGAAATAGAAACTCTTTTTTCTCAAACTGGTGTCTTACAAAAGCATAAAATCTGACTAAATAAATAAGTGGTTGGCTGAAAATTAGATGAGTAAATAAACAAATGAGTAAAACAGAATGGAGACTTTAAAAAAGACAGCTAAGGTTTTTTCTTTTTCATGCCTTCACAGACTTTATTCTTGCCAACAGTCTTTCTTGTATGTACTTGGCGTTCCGATGTCGTTTGGGAATTATGATAGGTATTATTATATGATTGATATGCATGTAATGGAAAACTTCCAGTTGTTGAACACTGCTCAGTTGGATACTGATAATATGGATCATTATAATACTTATTATTGTATGGATTAATGTAACCGCTTTGATTTGTCCAATTCACAAACGGTGGAGCATTAAACACTGGTGGTCGCATGAAACCAGGGTATGCAGATTCATAATTTGGTATATTATTCCATAATGGACTAATATTTCGTAATGGTGCAACGGGTTGTGGTGGAATTGGTATGAAAGGCAAATATTTTGGCTGAACAAATAGCGGGCTGTTCACTTCTGGATATATGTACTCATCAGGAGGATAAACATATCGATTTTGTATGTGTCTATCAACAGGAAAACCTATAAAATCATCGTGACCTTCATTATTCATCTGGTGTTTATTTATAGAATGTTTTGTTCTCTTACTACTGTCATAATCATTTTCACTGGAATTCTCATCGAATACATACTCTTTGATTTCTCTAATATCATCTGCATCAGATATATCAGCGAGTTGAAGCAATTCAAGTGTATTTACTGAAGGACATGATTCTGAAGAAGTTGAGTACGCCTGAAATCTGTTGAAGCTGCGTTGCGTTGATTTCTTAGTGCACTTAATATTTTCTTTAGTGGACATAAAAGAATTTCTATTACTTAATTGATGCTTCTGGTTTCCAACCAACGACTTTTGTTTCACTTTCTCCTGATTGTTACCAAATATATCTTGTTTTAATTTTTTCTGATCATATTGATCTTCTCGTAAAGATGCTGAAGGTATTCCCTTTCTTAGATTTTGACGTATATAACTATTTGGATGTGTTTCAGACTTAGCATTTTTATGCATCACACCATGTACTGCAGAATTCGTGGAGACGGGTTCAGGTGTTTTACACTCACGGCGTTGGTTTGAGGCTGATTTTAAAGACATATAACTATTGCCTTTATTTGGCACAGAATGATCAGCTCTCCGAGTTCTTGAAAGTGTAGATGGAGTGTGTGAATTCGATTTACGTGTTGAATAATGTGAATTCTGTAGATGATTTGAAAGTGGCGGTGTTTTTATATCACGAGATGAAGTGACAGGATTATTATTAACAGTCGACTTATTTTCAAAAGATTTAGACCTAACTTCAGATTGTTTTGTTGTTTTACAGTTTTGTTTTACTGTATTCACATTGACAGTATTACCTTTATTGACGGTTCTGTTTTGTAAAGTATTCACACCTTTAACAACACTAACTTCTTGTTTTAATGATTCTGAACTTGTTTTAGTGCAAGAACCAAATGATTTATTCAAAATGACATTATTTTGATCTTTTGACTGTTTAGAGGAATTCGTTGTGATTTCTTTCACTTTGTGCATAGCCTTTTCATCCTCATCCATTTTTCCCGCCTTATTTAAATCATTATTTTTAAAATTCTCTTCATCATTTTCTGTATGATAACTTTTCACTGATTGACTAACTCTTGGACAAGACTGTTCACGTGTATTGTTATAACTTAATTTAGGCGATATATGGTATAAATTCTCATATGAATAAACTGTTTGAATAACTTTATGCAAATGTGGTGGTTCTGCTGGACAGCAGTTTGCTTCACGCTTACCGAGCGGTGACTCATGCCTTTTAAAATCAATATATGCCTGACATGTTTGATGATGACCAATATTACCATTAAAATTAATTAATACTTGATTCGGTAGTTCATCAACAGTATTTACCTTATTGTTATTATCGCCATCATCATCAACATTATTTTCAATTTGAAGATAATTTAAACTTTTAATATCCATATTATAATTTTGTTCAACTATTTGAGAGAAATGCATAAGTAATTGACTATTGTAGAGCTTTTCTTTCACTATATCAATGTTCAATGGTTCTTTGGTGTTTTGTTTGTCTTCTTTATAATCATGAATTTGCTGTGATATTGATACAGGTGTTATAGTTGAATAACTTCCATCAATATAATGTTGATTCATTGAATTTGTTTGAATACATTCACTTTCAAATGTATCGCTTGTGGACGTTGATAGACGATTTAAATCGCGCGGAAATAAACGACTATTTGGTTTAATATGTAATGTATTAAAATCACCAATCGCTTTAAAATTATTTACATATGATGTTGGAATTTTTTCACCTGATGAAACTGGTATCGTTGTTGTTCTTGTTTTAATTTTTTGAATTGATGATGGCGGTTTATTTATCTTATCTATTGGTAGACTTATTTTCTCTGTGAGACTTAACGATGCTGTCTGTAAACTTGATATTGATTTATATGTGTTCGAGGTTTTTGAATCTTCTCTGGATAAATTTATTTTTAAATTATTTTTATTTGTTTTAATTCCAAAACATGAAAATACACCACATGAAACAATTCGTGATTTGTTCAGCTTGCTAGATGGTTTACACTTTGATTTATTATTAAAATAATGATGATAATTATAGCCGTTTTCATTCCACAGAGCAGTAGTAGGATTATTCATTTTCATAAAAATATTATTTGGTTCATTAGTTAACTTTAATACCTGCTTTGGATTTAATTGACCTGAAATATTGTTTGTATCTGTTGAAGAAGTATTACTTTCATAAATGTTGTAGGTGTCAGAATCACTATAACTCATGTTATATTTAATCTATCTGATTATTATGATTATTTATTGTGACTAATACTAAGATTTTTAAAAGAAGAAAAAAATAATTTCCAACTTATTATATAATCGTAAAAATGAATGATATCTTCACTTTATTAATTCATACTTCATGGGACAGATATATTCCTTTCACATCATAATCCTTTCTATTTCAAAAATGAGTTGATCAATAAAACTTGCATAGATCAATAATTATCATATGACCGGATGAGAGAAATTTGCATAGGAAAAGCTCATAGACAGGACAATATACACATTTTCGCAGCTTCTTTTCTCTCTAGTACAAAAGAAATTTAGTGAGGATACTCAGCCACACGGTTAGAGCTATATGCTCAGAAGAGGTAATTGAATATGAACCAAAAGAATGTATTGATTGAAAATAGCTATCCAGACAAATTCATCAGGAAACATATTGTAACAGCAGAAGGCAAGGTACGGAGGCCAAGGTGCATATCCAAGTGATCAAACCGCTATTTATATCTATACAGTTCTATATTGTCTTACCAATGATTGGGCGTGTGATTCTGGTTTACATTAAACGACATGAAATAGAATGTTTAAATACACATTTAGTATTCTGTTGCTAATGCTGTATTGAACTGTGGGAATATGTGAGAATAATATTCCATTGGAAACCACTGCCTGTATCACACCAACACAATATGACTAATGAGGTTGATATGGTCTATTCACTATCCATAAACAAGAAGTCTTTGTGCATACGGTTGCAATTCAAGGGCCATAAACGTCACGAAAGAATTAAGAAGAAGTTAAGAAAATCAGTTCAGAGAACGTTGGATGCTGGCGAATTACAAGATCCATTTTCTATACGATCGATGGTGATTCCTCGGTTGAAAGATGAAGTACCTGAACTAGCCACTTCTAATTGTATCTACCCATTCAACTGAACTTGTGTTGGAGCGAGTTATATCAGCCGTTGCTCTAGCAACTTGATTTTTTGTGCTCCAGAATATCTCTCCCTATGGCTAAGTAAAGGTGTAGTTAAAACCATTGACAGTTCGATATTGGACCATCTGGTGCAAACCGGCCATAAAGCCAGAGTGGAAGAATTCTTCTCTATCATCTACTGGGTGCCTAATAAATTCCCAAAATCATCGAAGCACCACATGCTCCAAACAACAGAGGCTATTGCAATTCGCCTCAAACAACCAGTGCTTTGTGTGCAAAAGAATCAAGTCCAGCCGCTACTACTGCCCTGGCCGGCCTTCCGTAGAGACTATAAATTCTATCCTAATTTTTCTGGTATTCAGTTTATTATGTTGATGCTATTGAACTGTAATCTATTGATATTATTGCTGATTCGATGCTGTTTAAACAACATTAATATTGTTCATAACACTAATTAATTCACTATTATGTATATGTAACTGTAGAACCTGATGATAAAGTTATTGAAAAGAATATTCTTTGTTCAGTAGCCATTCTTTTGAATATATATATATGTTCATAACGAGGACATAACGAAAGATTATGCAGTACACACACTCTTCAATGGACAACCAGATATTATGTCTAATCTGAAGACGATGCAGACTGACAAATACCAAAGGATCCTAACGAATAGCGCCAAGTTACTTAAAGCTACGGCTCCTAATTTCAAGTCCTAATGGGAATATTAATACCCATTCAAATACACGCATATTTCAAGTATTGGTTTGTAGGGATTTGATTGATTGGTCACAAAATTTCATCATGAGCTGGTATCGGTTAGAGAGCCATTGGAAAACCAGCCGGAAGTACTGGACAGCTGTTTCGCCCTAGTTTGAGGATCATCGGCAGTACGCACCCACCACGGGGGTTCGAACTCATGACCTTCCCGTTACAAGTCTAGCGAGCTCGTAGACCATTAAGCCATTGGGACCTGATCCAATGGCTAGCCCATGAATTCAAGCTTCTGCTAATTCACGACATAGGGCTACCAAAAACTAGTCACAGCAGGTCAGGCATGAGGACAAATGCTCGAGGAAGACATTGACTAGTGGTCAGGCTATGTCATGAATTGGCAGAAGCTGAAATTCATGGGCTAGCCAGTGGATCGAGTCCCAGTGGCTTAATGGTCTACGAGCTAGTTTACCTTGCGACCACAAGGTCCTGCGTTCGAACCTCGCAGTGTGGATGCATACTGATGAAGAGTCCCAAACTACAACGAAACAGCTGTCCAGTACTCCCAGCTGGTTTTCCAATGGTTCTCTTACTGATGTTAGCTCATGACGAAATCCTGTAACACGTATATTTGCAGATTTAGCAGGAATCAATTTATGAAGTACATTTTGAAATTTACTGTCAATCATCACAAGAAATAAAATCCGAGCTTTAAACCTTAGTGTTAATTAAATGTTTCTATATGGCTGAGGCATAGGGAGAGTTGGTGTTTCACCGAAAGCATTTCCAACAGTCTCCTACAAACTTCTATTGACAACTGTCCACTCTCAATACTAAAGATCAGATGACCGACCAGAAAGAATAAACAAGCACCAGCAAACTTTGGCACCTAAATGACTAAGAACTTATTGCTCAACAAATATGTTTAAGCAGAATAGAGGTGGTGCGTCGGTGGCACAGTGGTAGAATGATCGCCAACCACGCCACACGTAGTTCAGGGTTCGATCTCCGGCCACAGACGCACTTCTTTACCTCCCTAAGCCAGTAATAAGACTGGTAAAGAGGGAGGGTTGGGAGTGAGGCAAGCAACCTCATCACGTAAAAATAAACACCACTGCTACCGAAACTTGAAAGCTGTAGCTTGAAGCTCTCAACATGTTCCACTCGGAGAGTGAAGGGATAAAAAAAGATAAATAGAGATGTTTTGAACATACGCTTAGGAGACCATTGGATGATATCACATGCCAGGCCCTCGAATTAAACCTCTATGAGAAACCACGAGTTGGGCATCCAAGGGTGACATAGGGGAGATCATGTGAGGAGGGAATGAAAGCTTACGGGAAATTTTGGAGCCAGTTAAAAATGACTGGGGTGAACAGAGTAAAATGGTGATGTGATGTTCCACTAGTAACCTAAAGGAATCATAAAAGTTATAACACTTTAGATGCATACACCTCAGCATATACTCGTCTTTATCATTTTGTCAACAAATTGCATTAAAAATGTCTCAAGTGCATTAGATGGCCTATGATATAAATTCACATAGTACCATTCTGCTGAAGTTATAAAAATAGATGAACAAAGAAATATGTTCAGATTCTATGAAAGTTAAATTTGTCTTCTGCTCGCAGTTACTTAGAACTCACTTGCCCGATACCAAGCTATGAATGAGCCAATTTTGTTCTATGAGGGATAATGATATTTACTACTCAGTTGTCAAGGCTAAAGTAGGTGAAGTGAGATTCGAACCCGGGACCCATTGTCACGTGCTTAAGCTAGTGAGCTACATCTCCACTCTTTAAATCATATTCGATATATATGTACTTTGATTGGACACTAGTAACTAACTAGTGTGACGTGTCTAGTCCTTTCTTTTCTTTGGTGCAGACTGAATTCTATCAGTCAGTAAGGTTTGCAATGTGGCCACCATTCTAGGTAGCTCGCCATCACAGTGCACATTAATTTTTGATGATATTAGATAGTTGGAGGCAATCGGCCACAGGAAACCCCAACTGACCTAGGTTTCGTGCTAGTTGGCACTCGTCAGCAAGGCGTATCTGTAACCAATTCCCTACTACATATTCCTTTACTAAGCCTTCGTCTTCTACAGTTCCAAATGAACTGTCTATCATAGAAATGCGTTATCAAATATAACTAGCATCAACTTCAATGTAAATCGTATCATACTCAAGCACACACACACCTACCCAGTGAGCCTCATGGCTTTGTACACATACATGTATCAAAGGTTACTTTTAATTAACCGATTCTTGTATGAAATAACAAAAGTTGATGCTCACAAGCACTCTATCGATTTCTTATTCTATTTAAGTTTATTTGCTTTGATTAAAAATGCTATAGAACACTTTGATGAACTTCTGTTCAAGGTAGCATTTACAGTTCATTATGTAATCAATTACATTGAGAAATAACGTAAATTCGATCTTTATGAATATTAATTAAGCTCAAGATTAAACACCGAAAATTATGCTTTAATGTGATTTCGAACCTGTGAGAAGAAAAATAAAACAAGAAAATTCACGACTCTTAGGAATCGATCGGTTTTGACGAAAAAACAACTTAAGTTTTATATTTTAGAAAGTTGTTGCTACTTTGGAATTTCATAATTTTCAAGTATGGGTTTTAACATCAGTTAGAGAACCATTGGAAAACCAGCTGCTAGTACTGGACAGCCAGCTGTTTCGTCCTAGTTTTGGACTCTTCAATAGTCGGCTCATGATGAAATCCTCCAACCAATACTTGAAAATTAATCTGATGCTCACTAGCAACTGGCTCTATTCAGGCAGTTAACCTTGAGTTCTAGTAGGAAACCGTGACCATTTGGGTACAGCAGTAACTCATCGAAGAAGACATTGCGAAGTGGTCGCGCCATGTCATGAATTGGCAGAAGATAGAATTCATGGGCTAGCCATTGGATCGAGTCCCCGTGGCTTAATGGTCTACGAGCTAACTCGCCTTGTAACCAGAAGGTTCTGGGTTCGAGCCGTGGCGGTGGGTGCGTACTGATGAAGAGTTCCAAACTAGGACGGGGAAACAACTGGCTGTCCAGTATTCCTAGGTGGTTTTCCAATGGTTCTCTAACTGATGTCAGCTCATAATGAAATCCTCCATGCAATTTTACGGTGTATTAATCACACCGTAAGAATAGTAGTTCCAGTTATCGCCTCTCTCTCTTCAACAGCATTTGAAACAACACCAACAACTGGCTGGCGTCGCGCATCATTAAAATCGCCAAAAGACAAAATAAAAGAAACAAAACAAAAGAAAAAGTCATTAAAATTCAACCGTTTATTACCCAGAATAATCGATAAATTGATAAAGAAGAAATGAAGGAATGTTAACGAGGTTGACTTGGATGTTTTAAGAAGAAAAAGAAAAGAGAGAGAAGGGAAAGACGAAATTCAATTCACAGAAGAGAATCAATAATTAGAAATAATATATTATGCTTTTTTGATTGATGATTATATCAATAATGTAAAGAGGGTGGGGGTGGTGTTGGTGGTGCTGGTACAGTGAGTATATACCTGAAGGAATCACAGAAATATATATATATCTATATGTTGACAAAGCAATTCATCACATAAGAATTACAAAGTAAGTGTATTGGACTGACTACTACTAACGACAATAGCACAAATAATGCTGATTCTGAATAAAAGAGAAAAATATCACTCATAAAAAATCAATCAATCAGTCCCCAAAAAGCCATAAATTGGTGATGACAACTAACAAAGCGTTGTCAGTGTTGCGAGAATATATATCATTCACTGGATAGAAGTGAAAACAAAATCACAGCTTATTTTACTCTTATTCCTGTCGACTTTACTTCGGTACTTTGAGCTGAATCCAATTGTTTTCCAAGGTATTCCCTTTAAGCAGCAATAGCATGGGCAGTATAAAAGAAAGTGAAAATATTTATATTAGCGAAGGTACAATAATAATAATAATAATAAAATCCCAGTGGGTGCGTACTGCCGATGATTCCCAAAGTAGGATGAAACAGCAGCTGTCCAGTACTCCTTGGTTTTCAATGGTTCTCTAACTGATATCAGTCCGTGATCAACTCGTAAAACATAACTAATCCTTACAAACCAAACTATAGAAAAATAATAAAAACGTCATAACACGGGTGCATCGGTAGTTGGTTCAACAGTAGAATGCTCACCAACCACACCCACCACCACACATGGTCCAGTGGGTTCGATCCCCGATTGCAGTACTCCTATGCCTTGCCAAGCCGATAGTAAGACCGGTGAACAGGGAAGGTTGGGAGTGAGACCAGCAATCTCACCTCATAAAAACAATAAAATCACTGCTACCGACTCGGAAAGTGAAGCGATGAAATTAAATAAATTTAATTGGTGGATGGTGACTAGCAGTGTAATCCAGCCAAGATGTGTATTTCGTCCTATTTGGGACTCATCATCTGGATGTACCCGCATTTCCCAGTGAGTGATGATGTCCCCATCAATGAGGCTCGAACCCAGTGTCCATAGTTTCAAACGCCAAAGCGTTATCCACTAGACCACTTGGGCCACGAGAGCCACCTCTTGTGCAACGGGTCATGGTCGAGCCTCATTGGTGGGAACATTATCACTCACTGGAAAATGCGGGTACATCCAGATGATGAGTCCCAAATAGGACGAAATGCGCATCCTAACTGGATTCCACTGCTAGTCACCATCCACCAATTAAATTCTAATTAAATGCCCAGACATCGTCGAAGCATCTGCACAAGAAGCCGACATGTCAACCTGAGACCGAGCACTTCGGTTCAATCAATCGACGGGAAATTCTAAAATTCAATTGAAGTAAATAAATGTCAGACTGCAATCAAAGAGAACTAACAAGGGGAATTAGTCCCTTTGATGTTGCATACATATACATATATGCCTTACTGACAAGTGCTGGTAAGCATGTAACCTTCATCCAGGGCTTCCTGCCGACTGCCTACAAACATCTAAGGTCGATTTATAAAGTGATTTATGCTGACAAGTCATGTAGCTTAGTGAACACGTTACTAAGCGACTAAACACGTGAAACTGGCTTTTTGAAAAAAAATTTCTATTTCTTTGCGTTCCTAGTGGATCATAGGGCTTCAAGCTAGAGTTTTGAAGTTTCGATAGTAGTGGTATTTTATTTTTACGGGATAGGGTTGCTAGCCTCATGCCCAACTTTCCCTCTTTACCAGTCTTATCACTTACTGGCTTAGTGGAACTGGTTACCCCCCCTACTAATAAATCAATGTTAACTGTAAACAAAAGTCTCAAATTTGATAACAAGGCATATTACAAAAATTGATTCGGCTCTGGAGTTGTTCAATGAACTTGAACTTAGGCGCACACATTGGATGTAAGCTTACCCGATAAGCTAATGGATTGCGCATCCATCACCACATACAATATTCATGAAAACAAAACACAGGTGTAGTTCAGTGAAGAGCCTCTTTTCGACGGCGAATTCATTCACACTTAGCTGTACAATCACAATTAAATATACTTACTTTTGTACGTGTGTGTGTGTGTACATTAGGTTTGTCCGATAAGAATATAAATAAGTTAGGGTTACTGTTGTCAAGACATTTCAAAAATGTGATGAGTAATCAAATTGTAACTATGTGGTGGGTGGGGGTGAAGACTGGTAAGAGGGTAGTGCTGATGTGTCGTCAAAAAGTGTAGTTACTAACACATAAAAGGAGTTGAATAAGCGAAATACAGTTACGTAATCGGATGGATAGTTTAGTTAGTGAATTGTAATTAGAATGCACATATAAACAAAGGAAAGTATGAAATTATGTAAGAGTTTCAAAGATTACAAATGTTATAAGGAGTTAGGAAAACAGCAAGCACACAAACATCAAGTCAGTAGGAGTCAAAACACTTGTTACCACGATGGTAGATGATTGGTTGGATGATTTTCTTTTGTACGCATAACTCTGGTTTTTCCAACTGAATGACTAAGACTTCAGCAATACAACAAAGGAGACGAAAGCGTATTGTCTTTGGTAGGTTATTCCTCACTTTGTAGATTACTTCGAAGGAGGAGGAGGCGTTTGTTCAGGTAGAATGACCAGTGTTGACGAGATGTTCGATTATCGCCCTCCTTATACAGCCACTATTACCTTTTTGTAGCCATGCAGGATAGTTCTTGAACCTGTTTGGAAAAGATACGCGTCGAATGACCAATGTACTACCTGGCTGGTTCCACAGCTCCGACAGGTGATGAACTGATATAGGCACATACAAGTGGTTAGATGCAAGATCTTGGCCTTAAGGCTTCTGCTGATCAATGGACGACTGGAGAACACCTGATTCATAGCTAAATATTTGATAGGTATACCTCAGTGGGTTAACTCTGTAGTTCCAACCTACACTTTATTTCATAGAGTCTGAGTTTTACGAGCTGTTATATAGTCGACTCACTTATTTAATTGATCTAGTATTGGGACTAACACAGAACAAGAGACACAGAAAATACTAGTTTTGTTAGCTATAAACGCGGTTGGTGCACAGTAATGAAACTTAGGCATAATACACGTGTTATGGAATAACGAAGAGGAAAGACAGAGGGGCATTGAAAAGATTCTCATTAACGTTAGGTGATACTTGTTTACAATGAATGAACACTGGCCTTTCAATTCATTTAAACAATTTATGATATACATACAGGTGACCGGTTAAAAATGTGTTGTGTTTAAACTCACTATTTGGAAACAAAACACAGAGATATAAAAAACGAGGGAAACAGAGGAATAAAAACTGATTATCAAGAGGGAGAAAAAACAACACGTTAAAACGAAAGAAGAGTGTAAAAGTGAATGCCACTGATAAGCTGCTTCAAATACCACAAAGTATAATGCAGCTTTATTCAACAGCTTTATGATGATAGCATATATGCCACTAAATCACTTGCAATGGAAACTTCAGTGAAGCGTTTAAAATCAAGACAGGAGGAAACCAGGACTGCATATTACCACTGAGGATCTTCCTAACTGTAATAAACCGGATCATACAACAGAATGTGGGGAGGGGGCGCAAGAGGATAGGTATACATTGAACCGACACAAAAACCCTAGAAGATCTGAACTTTGCGGACGATTGATTTATATCTCACGCGTGAAAAAAGAATTGGAGATATACAAGCGAAAATCAACATACTGGCAGAAGAGACAGCGAAGACAGGACTTCAGTTAGACATAAAGCAGGTAGAAGTAAGTGATGAAGAGATATCCGAATGAACAACAACAAGCATCAGTCGCCGTCAACGGGAGAAATCTAAGGGAAGTCTCCCGCTTTTACTTACACCTAGACAGCATCGTTTCAATGTCAAAAAAGGCAGCCAGTAAGTATCAGATGGGGTAAGGAGGACAGACTTTCATTACTCTGAAAAATCTGTGTGAAGATCTACAGAGCTTAGTACAAGGTACAAGATCCGGATCATCGACGCAAATATCAAATCAGTACTTTTCTATACGCTTCACACACTTGGTGTGTCACGGAAAGCATTTACATCAGGTTAGTGCAGAGTTTTATCAACAGCTGTCTCTGCTTGATACTCGAGATACGAAGGCTGGGCAGAAACGATAAAGAACTCTAGCAACGAACCGCTCAAGAAACCTGTTGTTCAACAAATCTGTATAAGGAAATGTAGATGGACTGGACATACACTGAGAAGACTATCAAGCGACATCAAAAGTCATGCTCTAGAATGGAGCGGGGATGGGAAGCGAAGAGTTGGGTATCCAAACAAGACATGGAGGAGATCATATTGAAAAGAAATGAAAGTTTGTGAGTGATGATAGAATGGGCTGGAAAAGGCCACAGAGAACAGAATGCAATGGAGACGTGCTGCTGAGACCTTATGTTCCATTGGGGACCTAAGGGACGAGTAATAATAAATAATGATACCAGCTCAAACCACTGTATATTTTGAAAGACTAAAGATCCCTCGAGTAAAACGAGTATTCTGCCTTAAACTGTCAAGATAAAAAAGTTAGGCCAGTTACCCTCCGACCAGGACTGAGGACATGGTCATTTGTGACATCAAGTCACCTAGTCCAGTTCAGCACCGAATGACAAAGATATAGATCTCCAATAGGAAATGAATACTCTCAAAGTTTCAGTTCCCCGATTTCCTGTCAGCACAGTGTGACAGCAAACAAAATGGTCTGCCTGTAAGCATACACACACAAATGAGTCAAGCATAACTTTATTTCAGCATTTCAAGGAATTTATTTTCTATAGTTTGGTTTGTAAGGGTTAGTTTTGTTTTTTCGAGCTGATCACGCATTGATATCAGTTAGAGAACCATTGAAAACCAGCCACATGGAGTACTGGACAGCTGTTTCATCCTAGTTTTTTGGGAATCATCGACAGTAAGCAACCACCACAGGGGTTCGAACCCAGGACCTTTCGGTTACAACTAACCTTTACAAACCAAACTATAGAAAATTAATCTGATGCTTGCTAGTGACTTGCTACACGATGGAGTTTCCTGGAGTTAGTTCTAGTGAGAAGTCGTGACCAGTGAGGTACATCCCGTCAAATGTGAGGATGGATGTCCCACTGATGGCATTGGTTGGTGCTAGTCGCGCTAAATCACGAATTGGTAGAAGTTAGAATTCATGCACTCGCCATTGAATCGGGTCCCAGTGGTGGCTGAACGGCATACGAGCTTGCCTTATGACCAGAAGGTCCTGAGTTCGAACCCAGTTGGGGTGAGTGCATACTGCCGATGATTCCAAACTAGGATCAAACAGCTGTCCAATGCTGGTTTTCAAAGGAATTTATTATATGATGAGTAGTATTATTAGGTTTATGAAGAAATGGATGGACTACGACACAAAATATATCCTTTAAAAATAAAGACTTAGACAATTAATCACTTACCAATTATGTACCATTATCTTCTGTAATGAGACCAATGCATTATAACGTACATTTGGATCTTCGTGTTGTAATAACGCCATTACTAGGTGTTTACCTCCCAGAGTTTCTATTATCCTAGAAGCGTAAAAGTGAGCAAGAGAAGGTGAAACAATGTCGATTCTTTCTTATTTGAAAAAGAACACATTTAAATAACCAAAAATTCATAGGGCTCCAACGTAATGAACGAATTTCTCTATAGGTATACACACAAAATGCCTCTCGAGATAACTGACTGACTGGTTTCAACATAGAACTAGGTATAGAAGTGCAAGGGTCTGAGTTGCCACACTCCGTGTAGAACACAAAGGATAACAAAAGAGCGATAATAACCAGAAATGTGAGGCAGAAAGAATAGCAAAATAGAAAGCCAGTGAGGTTTTAATAGACCTGGGAAATCACAGAGGGTGAATGCATCTGCGCCAGCCATCAAGAACGACTTCACGCCAAATATTACCGGTTGTCTCCAACCTTCATTGGTTCTTAGAATCATGAGTCTACACCTCCTTCCCTATGTGTCTGGCCTAAAACTGTCAAAGATTTCATGGAATGGTGCTAAGTTTTCGTTTGACCACCATTAACTTCTTTCAAACCTGATTCTCGAAATAATTAGCTGTACGATGAAGACAGCTAGTAGTCATAATGTGTGAGGAATCAAAGCTTGCCTTCGAATACAATCCATACAATGGGATACACAGCACAACAGTATCTACTCCAGTCAGTAATGGTTTAGGCAACCATTGACAACAACGTGAACACATAACTTAGATTGTTAAAATAAATTACATTGGTGTGAGGTTTAAAATCATATTCTTCTCAGTTTTATTCAAGTAATGAGGAATAACAAGAAGTTGAACAAGTCACTCGTGTTACAAGCGTTTCGTGTGATGGCTGACAGCACTATCATCTACCTAGTTACCTGGAATACAACAGATAAAGGGAGTTTGAATTCAAGACATCCTAACTGACACTGAAGTTCTTAGACTGGTCAACAACAGACACACACATATATACAAAAAGAGAGGGCTTCCCTTAAAACTAACAGTCAGTATTATTAAAACACAGACTTGGTACATTTTGGGCACTAAAAGATATGCCATACAAAATCTCATTGTTTATGCGACAGCTGATATACTGCTCGGACGTATAGACCGAAGCAGATGGGTGTCTAAACAGATCAACCCCGAGACTTTGACTTGAATTATTGATATACAAGGCGCTGGAGCAGCATCAGAAGCGACGTTCGAATGGTTAACAATGACATAACAGGTTTATTAGCCATTCGATAAGTGCGGTTTCTGGGGCCTATTTCCGCTTAGGTTTGGAAACAGGCTTTACCAGCTCCCCTAGGTAGATCTATGTGTCCAACAGACCAGACGTTCGCATTTGCTCTCTTACTTTTGTGAAGAACACCCGTCGCCGCGTGAACGCAGTGAATGGGACCTACATGGCAGAGGCTTTGAACGTGTGCCCACATGAGATCGTTTAGATAGGGAGATCGAAGTCTACCCAACCTTGGTCGTATCAGGTAGTTTATGGTTAACAACTAAATAGACTTCAAACACTCGGCTGCACAAAGTCTGATGATACTCAAGAAAACCAATACAAATATCATACTGCAATTCTACGTTAATCTGAAAGGTGGCCATGAAATTACATTATAATAAATCATAAAAGAGAATAAACAACAACAACAACACAAATAATTCAACTTACTGTTTACCACGTGGATAATGTCTCACGAATTCACCGATATCATGAACAGCAACAGATAATGTCAATGGATCAACAGCAAGTTCAACTAATTTCACTATCATCCTAAAAAAAAACACATCAAGATTGAAGAAAGAAATAATTTAAAAAAAGACGAAAATAAAATATCAGCATCTTCTCTATCCATAATGATTACATCTCCCGTCAATAAATTCAATAATTTCTGTGTTTGCCTTAAAATCGATAAACAGAAATAACCCCGCCGATATATATTATATCCGACATTTCAACGTCGAACAATGCACAAAACTGCATCACAATCCACATACAGTTCAAAGGGAGAAGAAAGAAAATCCAAAGGAGACGATAAATAGTGAATGTATATGCATCGTTGAAAATGATTTTGAGCTCTTGGTTTTTAGCATTTCGACAAAAAAAACCAGTCAGGCAGTTCACACTTCCCTAGGTGGGTCAAACACCGACAGTCGAGCTACTTCGTAAATTGATGTCAGTTTTTTTTGGTCTGACCACTCCTAATTCTTTCCTAACCTAATCCAACATCAGCTAATATGACTTCAGAATTCTAGAGAAAAAAGAAGCATATGGTAGGTCTTTTTTCCTTCACGTTCCCAGTGGAACATAGGGCTCCAAGCTAGAGGCTTGAAGTTTCTGTAGCAGTGTCAATTTTTACAGGATGGGGTTGCTAGCCTCATGCTTAACCTTTCCTCTTTACCAGCTTTACTACTGGTTTATCGAGGTAAAGGAGTGCGTCAGCCGGGGGTCGAACCGCGGACCATGTGCATGGTCGGCAAGCGTCCTAACCACTGTGACACCGACGCGAAAACGACTTCTGATGTTGCTTAGACGGAGTGCAGATCTCAGTTATGTAATAGGCTACGAATTTCAACACTTCCTGTGAGGACTGGTGATGAGGATCATGATGTTATCCACTCGCCAAGGCTGCAGTAAGTAGATGGGAATTTGAATTCAGAAACTCCTGACCAAAAGTCTGGTGCCACAGTTGTTAGACTGACACTTATACAACGACAGTCACTTGTTTTACAATCTAGGAGTTTAGGTAATCTCATTCTAATCTCATTATTCAAATGTTTATACTTGCTTATTTTTTTAATAATCTAAGAACATGCAGACGTTTGAGGTCAGTTAACTCAAACACATTTTCCCTGTGCCAGACTGTAAGTCACACTTATTGTATGACGGCCAACAAAATACTACCTACCACCCAGTTGTCCAGATCGAAGTAGGTCGAGTGGGGCTCGAACCCGGGACCTATCCACTATAAGTCGATTGTTTTGAGTAAATGAGCCACATATCCACCAAATATGAAACACCGAATACAGAAATAAAAGATTGAATAACATGAAATTGATGAGTCCATCATCTGCCTAATCTTTAAGGCACTCTTTGGTGCTTCAGCTTGAACAACACTTTATTCCTTCTAGCTAATTTCTATGTTTTAAATGTGTGATAATGAAGACTTCAGGCAATTCCAATGGTCCTTTAACCGATGTCAGTTGATGATGAAATCCAGCAGAAGTTGGAATTCATGCGCTGGCCACTGGATCGGGTCCCAATGACCTAATGGTCTACGAGCTATCCCGCCTTGTAACCAGAAGACCCCGAGTTCGAACCCCCCGTAGTGGGTGAGTATCATTGAAGAGTCCCAAATTAGGACGAAACAGTTGTCCAGTACTGCTAGATGGTTTTCCAAAGGCTCTCTAACTGATGTCAGCTCATGATGAAATCATCAAACCAATCAAACAAAACCCCCCTACACAAAACGAAATATTTGTAAATTAAAACTAGGTTTTAACCACAATATACACACACAGACAGGTATGGGTGAGGAAAACACACCATTACCACTAATGTTCAGAGAAAGAAGAAATTATTGATCTCTCTTTAACTTACTTTAACATTTCATAATTGTTATCGGTGAATTTCACAGCATTTTCATACCAAAACTTTTCTGATTTATGCACTGGTGACCATTCTAACCGACCAGATTTCAGTTCAGCCATATATTCATCTAAACTGCTTACATCTTGTATACTTGCAGATAACTTTTCCTTTTATACATATGATTCAGAGATAAAATGAAAATTTTTTTTACAAAAAAATTTGTTAAAACAAATATAACTTTCAATAAATTTAAACAATCTATTAATACTCGGATTTCGGGTTTCGTAGGAATTAGTTCTCAACAGTAATTTCATTGTAAACTGGAGTCTGTCTGTTTTCGAAATAGAACTTTGCAGCAGTTCGAGTCGTTACACTCCATGTAGCACACAAAGTAAGAGAGGAAAGTAGAAGAAATGCAAAATAGAGACAGTAAACAGAGATATGAAGCAAAAAGAATAGTAATAACGAAGAACAATATAGTTTCATTGGAAACCGCAGTCAGAATAACTCAAAAACCAGCGGTACCGAACAACTTGTTCTGTCATAGTTTGGCAATCTTTAGCATTGTGAAGCCACCAGCTTACGGAGGTATAAAAAAACCCACAACATTCAGATTGTGATAATAATTGTTATATATAACTGACTAACTGGTTTCAACATAAAACAACTTTGCGCAGATGTGCAGCACTTCGAATTGCCACTCTCCCTCCATGCAGCACACAAAGTAAGAGAAGAGAGTAAAGGGAGGAGATTTAAAAGAGAGATACGAAACACAAGTGTGAGGGAAAAAGAAGGGTAATACGATGGAAGAACAATAGAATTTTATTGGTTATTATATATCACAAAGAGTGAATACATCTGCGTCAGTCAGTGAAAACGATTTTGAGGCATATTACCAATTTTCCCCAACCTTCATTGGCTCTTACCATCCAGAGGATCCCAACCAGTCCGTCAGCAAGTCTACACCTCCCTACGTAGCTGGCTGATTCAAACAAACTGTTCTGCATTTCATTGAGCGATGAAGTCATGTTCTCGTTTGACCACCACTAGCTAACTCTTTTCCAACCTGATCCATCTCAGGTCAGTTAACACTGCCCGTTGTCGAGAAAGGCATGCATGAGCAACACATGTCTTAACCATCTCAATCGATGTAACTTCACAATCTCCCTAAGAATAATCTCCCCCTCCCCCTATTTACCTGGCACTCGACACCTAACCAACTGAATATTGCTCACCTTTTTATATCACTCAACACAGGTGATAGAACGCAGATACCTATGATCAAAGACAACTAACTGGCCTTTTCACGTCTTCCACTTTCCATGGCCACGTCTAACTCACAGCCAGCCATGAAGGAAGACAGTGCGAACTACTGAACAATACACACGCCCTTTGGACGATAGCCAGCCGGATCCCGCGTCTGAGCCATAGATGGAGTAAGTTGGCCTATGCCACATTAACTCTTTTCCGACTTAATTCGATATCAGCTAGCATTGCCCGATGATGTCTTGACATGAGTAACACATATCCTAACCACCTCCATCAGTGTACCTGTACAACGTCATAAACTGATTTTCCCTCTACACCTAACTTCATGATTACTGACCAGTAATATTATGCTGCCTAACACAAGTAACAGACAGTAGACACCTAGGGTTAAAGGTAACAAGCATTTTTACCATATTATTCTACTTCTAACGGCCATATCACAACTCATAAAGATAGGCAATGCATTGGGATGCATAATATATATTCCCATTAACTTAATCACATCCTCATCTGTCTGTCTGTCTGGATTCAACATAGAACTTGGCACCGAAGTGCAGCACTTCGAGTTGCCACGTTCCAAATAGCACACAAGGTTGACAAGAAGATGAGTGAAGAGAATCAATAGAGTTTTGACAAGTATAAGAGTGAAACAGAATGAGTAATGGTAGAAAGGAATATGAAAGATTACGGAGACTGAATACATCTGCGTAAGCCATTGACAACGATTTTGAGCCATGTCACCTGTTGCCTCCAGCCATTGATTCTTAGAGTCCCGAGGGCCCCAACCCGGAAGTCTGCATCTCCCAACCTGACTCAGTTTAACTGTTAAATCACATCCTCATCGGTACACGACATGAAATTTTATACGTTTTACAATAATGAATCATCAGGTTTAAATTCCAGTCCATTTTATCAGGCCTAATTATTTCATTCCATAGCATAAATGTAGCCAAATGCTGAAGGATATGAAAAATCAACGGTACATTTAAATTAAAGATTAGATATCTAGGTTAAATATACATAAATCAGTCACATTTTTACAGAACATTGTAAAATTTATTCACATATTGACTTACATTTAGAAATGCAATATCATCTGTCAATTCAGGATCATGACTAAAATCTTTTTGACCGAGTAATTCTAATTCTCTCAGTACTTTATACTGAACTAAGCGTAAACCACATTCTCTTTGTTCAGTGCTTGTCGGTAACTTTTCTAAAACACTCTGTAGAAATCAACAGAAAAGGAAGGGGAAAAAAAGAAGAGGAGTTGCAAATTGAGGAGACGAATAACACTTAACACACTTAAGCCAAGAAGGTATTGCCCTATCACTACCACCTGCCGCACACACCCCAAGGAGAAATTCAACAAACACCACACATGTTAAGCTGTTACGTGAAATCCGTATGAGAAGTGAGGTATTGGATGTTCGTGATTGATGTGGAGATAATGTGAAGAGGAAATGGAAGTTGTGGATAGTCATGGAGCGTACTGAGAATGATGGCAGAGTATTGAGTGTTATGGAGAATTTTATCTTTCTGATTGGTAATTAAGATCAATTCATAGGGAACTATTTATGGCTCATATGTTCAAGTTCAGTTAACAATCATGACAATATACTTTTTAAATGCCTTGAGAAATAGTTTATTGTGCGTCTTCGTTTGGAGCCTCTGACAGATTTTTTAATCAATGCGAACTCTGCAGACTAGGCAATGAGCAAATGAAGGACAGTTGGAAGCCAGCTGCATTGTACTTTAGACCTCGTCTACATTTCCAGTCAGTATCCATGTGAATGAAATAACAACATATGCTCCTACACCATATTCTTGTAAACGTCCATATTTTCCCATGAGGCTTTTCAATCAGTCATACTAACCGTCTATCTTTACCTAGAACGGCTGTTTCATTTATCTCTTTGTCTTTCGCTGTCCGTCACAACCATCTCTGAGCTGTATGGGTTGTCTTTGTCTTTTATTGTATGCAGTACTCCCGTGGAATTCTTTATCACGCATTAATCAATTCTACAAAGACTGTTGAAACTCATGAACTCTTTATAACTAGAAAAAGTATCTTCATAAGCACTGAAAACAGTAGCAGACTTCAGGAAGATTAACAGTACTATGCCCCACAAACTGTCTACTATTTACCCTTTTTTGATTGAAACCTAAATACTATTGAAATCAGCTGAATATCAAGTAATGCAAATGTGATATTCTTGATATAAGTAGTATATTGAAGCACATAACACTACCTGTTGGCATTTTAATACCCATCAACGAAAGTGAACTGAAAGTAGCGTCCAAAATCACGCATCAGATTCTTACTAATTGAAACTGCAGATTAGACAACACTGAAGCTATTTGATGTAACAATATTCATGTTGTATAAAAATCACCATACTACTAATAATAATAACAATAATGAAAAACCACTAAGAGGATCAATTAATTCAGGAAGATACAACTTACACGAAATAGAGCTAGTGAAATTCTAGTAATTTTCTCACGATCTGCTTCAAGAAAAATCCCAGCTACAGTGGCCAGGAGTGCAGAATTTTTGCATATCTCAGTGACATGGTATGAGTCAAAACTCATACACCAGAGACAGAAAATTAACTGATATTGCAATTGTCGACTGGTTGTCTTTTCCTGAAGGACATCGACAATCCTGTGAACAAGAGGAGTACATATTATTTAACACCAAGATTTTAATATTAACAATAATATACTAATGAATTAATAGTGAAATCTATATGCGACTACTTTTTATGGTAACAGTATAGTGTCAGTGAGAGGACAACTGTGAAATATGATACGAAAATGTAAAGAGGACAGGCAGTTGGAATTATAGGTATCTCTACAGTGACCTTTGTGCATCTTTGGACCACGAAGTCAGTAGTATCACCATCAAACACAGGGCAACAAGCATGGATCGCCAAACCTCTCAGTGAAGTTGTGTATGTTTACTAACTGAGGAGAGCTATATACACACCTAGAATTTCTGGCAACTGCCTTCCTCGATGATTATTGTAAAACAAAGCAGCATGAAGCTGAAAAGAGGCTATTAATAATCAGGTTAAGAAAGTGACACTGTCACGTAGTCCTCTGATGAAGAATGTCTATTTTAAGTTTGTTAGATGCTGAAATATCATGCAAAGAGGTCTTTCGGAAACATTATCTAAAATTAATTAATTTATCTACTTTCAATTCCCCACTTATTCTTAATGGTTTAATATTGTTTCGCTTTCGTTTAGATTCGTATAGTGGCACTAATCTGTTCGTTTGTCTGAGGAAGGTGAAGCACAACGAAATCAGCGCACCCTTATCCTATTTACAGATAAAATAATATACAAAATAGCTTGTTAGTTAGGCTAAGTATGTTGTAAGTAAAACAATCTGGAACATTGAGCCATTTAACTTCTTGTCCCTGTTTTAGTCAATATTTTATTGTCTTTAATTTCACTCGAAATCGGCCTTTATTAAAATTCTATATCCACACCTCAATAAGTGTTTCGTTTCAGATAACCTTACAAAAGAGTATGGTTAATAAAGCCATAAAGGAATGCGACATGTTGCGTTTCCACAGGATCATATATTAACTGACTAATAGATTTAAAACCAAACTACGTGTTAAGGATAAAACACAGTCTTCCTCATCAACAATCACTATCCCAAAAATATTGATATCTTTATTTCAAAGGAGAATGCTGCCAAATAAGAGAGTAATTACGTTGAACTTCTGATGACGATATGTCAACGGGTACACAGACGTTTAATAGTATGGGTGTAAATGAAGCCATTTGTTTATGTGAACTGATAGGAAACAAACAAACAATATTAAATGGAACGATAATATGCAGAAATGTAAGCAAAATGATTAGCAGTGTAAACAGTACATCGTTCGGAAGAAAATGCATCCACTCAGACTACCACCCTACAACATATCTTCTGAATAGAGGGTGAACTACGAGGTAGTTTAACGAACAATTGGATCGTTAAATGAAGCAAATAGTGTTCTGCTATCCCAACAACCTGGGTAGTATTACTGTGACAGTGTCACACTGACTCATACCCTAGTACATTATAGATGACTCAGGCAACTGGATTCTATTAGACAAAAAAATGATAATTTCCCATTCAGTACAAAGGTTTATTTCGATGCCTACTTACAGGTGATCAACAGAGAAAAGCACCAATGGCAACAGAAACTTCATAAACATTGAAAAATATAGACAAGATCGGGAAATATAAGGTCATGAATTAACTAGTTAATCATAAGACAAAAAATAGCTGAAAATGAAGGTACTCACGTTTCAACTCCACCAACTTTAGCGAACTGGACACGATACTCCTTAATGCGCAACATCATTTGAAGATTTCGAGCAACAGTTTGATCATATTCATTGTTCTGTATAACAGTTACGAAAATGAGAGGCAACATCAGTTTAAGTCGGGAGTAAGCTGACCTTGCAAACATTCACATAAACCGAGAGGAACATTGAAATAAAAGGTATGGAACTGACAGGAATACAAGCTAACCCACATTTGGAGAGGTTAGGGTTGGTTTTTAACTTTAACTCTCCTAGTTTCTATACAATAGAGAATCAAACTATTCAGTCATTAGAAAATATTTTAACTCAAGCCTGAAAATCACCATACAGTATGTTCTTTTAGATATGTACCGATAGTGTGGTTAAATCATTGAAATAAATATTCTTGTAATTAGATAAAGAGATTCAAAACTTCTCTAACTACGTCACAAGTAAACTTTTAGAGGGGCGGAATAATAATAATAATATCTTCACTACTAACACTGGTTAGCTCTTGATATCGTGATTTGGTCAGTTTGGAAAGCATTCTATAGGTAGTACTGAAAGACAATTTCCGAATCCTTTCGGTTACAATGAAAAGTAGTTGAAAAAATTTATCAAAATACGTCAACTCATGAATAGGAGAAAACTGTAAGCGGTAGACAGTTTCTGGCTTCAGCGTTTAAAAAAACAGCTTTCCGTCAACCCTATTTAAGGATACTGTTTCCAAGCAAATAGCATTTTTATTTACCAAGCTTAGTTTTAATTATCACACTTTGTCAAGACAGTAAAATATCAGTCAAAACAGTACGCATTTATCAATGATTATTAACGAGCAAAAGCTTACACTGATAGTGAGTTGTTCTCGTAGCCAATTCAAGTAATAAATCAGGTCGTTTTCCTCCATTAGTTGGGAGGACCAACATGCAAACTTTGCTATTATTCTAGAGGCCTGGTGCATGCAGAAAGGATCACCTCTTTGAAAGAAACCAAAGAAGTGAGACCATAGTGATTCTTTCGTTTTAGCAAAGTAGTCACGGAATATTTCCACTCGTAATTTATCTTCCTAAATTTCATAATTTTACAAGATAATTTGAAAACTTACCTGAAGTATATCATCAATAAGCGTAAGGATATAACGTAGAGTTTGTTCTTTGGATATTTTATTTAGAATAAAAGTGAAAACTCTTGCAGTCTACAGGATAATTATTATTATGATTACATACCATCTGCTCATCAGCTCTGATGACATGATTTCGAGCTTCCGCTGTAGGAGCGTTATCCAACCGATTAATAAAAGAGTATTGCTCTTCATTTATAATTTGTCCCCTAAAGTGAGTGCATATATTGTGAATAAAGGTCAACGTACTGAAGATAAGATTGCCAATTGACTCTTGTAGAACGAACCTCAGCTGCTGTAGCCTGAAGAAAGCTAGTAGTTGAACCAACTATTTAAATTATAAGGTAATTCACGATTACTACTTGATGTTATATCTTCAATAGTCCCAACGCGAGCATATTCCAAAGACATTGCGATGACGAAGCTTACGAATGACGCGCTAACTCAGTGTAGCACAGTTCAATATTCTATAAATTCGTGTTTTTTCTGACTACCTTGAGAAGATTTAAGGCTATCCTAGCTGCGGGCATTTTAAAATCTGTAGATGTGTTTGGATTAACATAACTGATAAAGCCTGCCTAATTGTTATATTTCCCTGTTCATCTCACTTATTTTATTATGCTTCACTTCAATTGCTATCTGACTGTTCCATTCCCTGTATAAAATTTTGCCTTTTATATCATTTTATTATTCCCTAAACTGTGGAACTAACTGTTTTCGATGCCAGACATCTCAGAATATCGACTAGGAAGTGCCTGCAGAGTGAGCAGTCTCACTCAGCTCAAAGATGAAACAGATACGTCACCGTCTAATCAGGATATATTACATATAAAATCTAATAGTGCTAAAGAATCCAGCAATATTGTACTTCAAGATAATGATGCAAATTCACCATCAGCTGTAGATGACATTAATCACGCAAATTCAAATTCGGAAAATGCAGTCTGCTGTTGTCGTGAAGGCATAAGTAAGTTGATGTTTTTGTGTGTGTATGGAAGTTTATTTTGTGGGTTAGAAATATCTGAGGTATATCTTTGGTCCATGTATGTCCTCTTATGTGTCTCACACTCCTCTCTTTGATTTTAAGTGTCAGCCTCCAGGAACTCAACAGCCACTGACTTAACTGAAGCCACCAGTGTTTCCAGAAATGCTGCCTATTTTGATGGACATATCTAGCATCAATCAAGATAGTATACGTTGCGTAAGATTTTTGAGATAAGTCATTAATATCTTCAGTGATTTCAATACAATGATGATAAGAAGTAGTATTAGTACCAACATACTTCATATGTTCTCTTAAAACAAAATTAGAAGTCGTATTGTTGCACTGGCTGTTGTTCGGCAAACAGGTTCTTCTTAAGTAACCCCAGTGAACGCGCTTATTTATTATATTCTTGACCTCTGTTAGATAACTCAGGCATCCTCGCTCAAAAGTCTCAAAATATACTGGAAACCCCCATCCACTGAAGGTAATATGTTGTAATGCTCCGTTCCCCACTGACTGGCTGCTTTCAACATAGAAATTTACACAGATCTGCAGCAATTCGAGTTGCCACACTCCATGTACCACACAGAGCAAGACAAGAAAGTAAGGAGAGATTCTAAAGACATAATAAACAGAAATATGATGCGAAAAAAATAGTAATATGGAAGGACAATAGTTTTATTGAATATTATAAATCACAATGAGTGAATACATCTGCGTCAGCCACTGAGAACGATTTTGAGCTATATCACCAACTTTCTCCAACATTCATTAATTTTTACCGTCCCGAGGACCATAATAAGGAAACAAGTCTACACCGACCTACGTGACTGGCTGGTTGGCTTAAACTAACTTTTGCATTTCGTTAACTGATAAGGCCGTGTTTTGGTCTGACCACCAATCACTAGCTTTTTTCCAGCCTGATCCATCCTTTGTCAGCAAACATTGCCCGTCATCGAGGGAGGCAATAGCTAGTCGGTCATGCGTAACACATACCCTAAACATCTCAATCGGTGTAACTTCACAACTTTGTCGATTGATTTCCCCTCCCTAACTAGCACTCGACCGATGCCTAACCAAGTCAATATTGCTCACCTTATTATACCACTTCACATGGGAGGAGGTAGAACGCAGACACCAATGATCAAAGATAGTTTGCCGGCCTGTTCATGTCTTCCACTTTCAGTGGCCATGTCTAACTCACAGTGCTAACTGCTGAGCAGTTCACACGTCTTCTGATCGAAAACCAACCGGATATCACGTCTACGCCAGAGATGGTGTTAACTGGTATATGCGAAACTAGCCTTCTGTATCCGTGCTGAGATTTCGTTAGCAATCAGATCAACACACTGCTGTTGACTGATGCAACTCCCCAAAAGGGTGAGCGAAGTGTTCAACACGCTCCACCAACCACCATTTCACTTCTGTCTATCTTTAAGTTACGAATGAGTCGATGTGGTTCAGTCAGTCCTGTAGCGAATCGCTTGACAATTATTCGAAGATTGCTGCCCAGCTCAAGGTGTTCAGAAGATCCTGTATTTTGTCAGCGTCTTCACCTAGGAGCAGGACCATATCATTGGCATATTCTAAGTCAACGAGACTATTATTTCCTGGTGGTAACAAGCCAATCTCTGAGTAGCTGTAGTCAGTTACAGCTAAGTTCATAATTACATGTATGATGAAATAAAACAAATGGGGGACAATGGATGTTGGTATATAGAATCCTGAAATAGTTTAGAAGGGATGTTTAAACCGTCAGTTACCTCTGTTTATATTATACTATCCTGTGTTAACTATAAAGAAATTGGCCTTAGACACCTGGTCATTCCTAAACTGATTTATATTGGTTACAAATTAGCTCAAATTAGGGAGCACTGATTAAGTCTTCACTCCAATATATTCGCATATACAGACACCATATGTTTTGGACATAAAAGCCATAGTCAACTCCACCGGTTAATGTTATATCTGAAAAGTGTTTTATGACAGTCAAATAACTTATCCAGAACTGCGGCCTGGTTAGGAGCTTAAAACCGACAAGAAATAAAAACAACCAGCGATATCTGCCAATGGTCCACAATGTCACTATTCCTCCTAAAATTTCTTATAGATATACTGACTGACTAATGGGGGATGGTCATGTGACTTCGACTTCCATAGAATTGATTTGATACCTGTTAATCAGCTGATTTGTTTGGAGTTGACTTTGACTATAGTTGCGTTAGTTGACAGTACTGACAAAGTGCAATCTTCCGAATCTCCTGGTCAAAAAGCTGAATACGTTTGGCCTGCCATTTGTGTGTGAGATCCAAGGTTATACCACTAGACCGGTCTGTAGTGACTCCCACTTTAATAATATAAAATGACACGACAGAGTGTCTCGATCATCTCGCTTATTAGACACTCATATCAGCCAATAATAAACTGGTTGTTGATTAAATCTTATCACTGATGCAAAGGGTTTGCGTATTGTACAGCAGTTTTCTCTGCTTTAAATCTTCGACGCTTGTTGAACAAGCAATTCCTGTAAAGATTACATGCTTTTACCCGCAGGAGTTTTTGTTTCATCCCTTCCCACAGAATTATCTTCTCTAGCTATGACTAAGTTAAAACCAGCTTAAGTTTGGCACTGCTAAATACCTCAAGATTTCCCAAAAGACGTGTTATGGTTGGTCTGTTTTGTCAATTTCTATTCACTAAATGTCAATGTAGCTACTCCTCAATTAGTGCAACTCAAATTATACTTTGTATACCAGTGTCGGGGGTCTGCAAAGCCTTAAGCATTGTCTATGAACATATTTAAAGCAACAGTCAGTAGACGCGTACTCTTCCGTACCATTTGTTCTTGTTTCATAAATTCTCCGTTTTAACATCTGGAACGTGAAAGTCACTGTCTAGTGATTCTTAGAAAGCTTTAGGGTTGATTCTAAGGTACCTATGGGCCTTGTAGGCAGTAATTAAGAATAGATATTATAGTCGAGTGACCATGAATCAACCAGTCAGATGGCTCAGCATTACAAGTGGATTCTGTTCATAATCTTCGTTGTAAGTGTCATCCTGATTCAGGATTAAGGTTAGCATAGGATTTAGATAGGGTTATGATTAAGGTTAGGTTGAAACTTACAACAAAGATTATGGAAAGCATCCATTTGTAATGCTGAGCGATCTGATTGGTTGGTTCAAGGTCATTCGATTGTGGTGTCTATTCTTTACACTGTCAGGTACAGTCAGATAGCTATGGAATGTATTAGTCTTATTCGACCTGTCAGTTGTCATTTTAAGACTTTGGTTACAAGAAGCTCAATATATACGATGTAACCCGGGTGTTTCTGTTATGCACCCTTCTGTTCTACGTTCTAAATATTCAGATGAATTTTAAATGTGTCAAACAATGTGCTTTTATGAGCAATTAAAAACATCGAAATAATCCATGGTCTGATTCTGATCGAGATTCACAAGACCATGAGGAACCGTCATTCACGTCTCTGACTAATATTGTCCAAATTGACCAAAGTGACTCTGGGTACATTCTTGCTTTATTTTGCTTAATTGTAAGCCTAAACTTCTCTGTTTGCTTTGTCTTTTTCGTATTGCCTTATAGAACTTTTAGTGCTTTGATTATATGATTACTTTGCCTTCATCCTATTATCTTCTACCTGATATGTACATGAGTTGTGTTAATTTGTACTACAATGAAGTAATCTTAGATCCTACGTTGATAGTGTTCGTTTTTGAATTTAATTTGGCCTCGTCTTAGACATTTCGTTTGAGTTACATAGGGACGTATAGACTGCTTAGTTGGGGTCTTCGGGAAGCTAAAAATCTATGGCTTGAGACTATTGGTGGTATGGTTCGAAATAGTTCTCATTGGCCCGGATGCATTCGCCCTCTTTTGAATCTCTTCTCTTTGTCTCTGCGTACTACATGGTGCGTGGTGACTTGGATCCCTTCACTTCTGTGCAAAGTTCTATGTTGAAATTCAGTCGGTTAAATATGTCAGTATTCTGAGGTTCTGGAAAATCTAATTTTTGCTGGATGAAATGTTTATTTAATCATTCTTCATTCTTCGCATATTTTTTAGCAATATTCTTGATGGATGGATCACTTATAAAACTGACAAATCTGTAAACTTTGTGATCGCGACCTCCTCGGTTTACTTGTATGACTATTCGGAGTCGTATTAGAGTATAGAATCTTCTCTGAGTATATGCAATATATCATCTAAAAGCGATGCCCTGATATGCTGAAGTATATGTTAACTCATTTGTACGGTTGTTTCGCACTTATAAAATCTCAGTGTATCTGTGAACGCCTACGGAACTCTGATTTGGCGAGAGATTGATGGAAGCTGGTTTTTGGTAATACCTCAGTGTCTGCGCCATGAGATTATACAAAAATATCACCAGCTAGCACATACAGGAGTAGCCAGAACAACCGACCTCTTGAGACAAAGCATGTACTGGTCAGGTTTGAGAGAAGATGCGGCAAAATATGTACTTGGATGTCCGCAGTGCCAGTTGATGAAAGGAGATCGGTGCATACGACCGCCTCTACAGTCAATTCCAGTTACGACAGTAAGTGTGATGGGTCCTTTTCCGCAAACGTCCAGTGGTAATCAGTACCTGTTGGTGATGACGGAACACGTTACATGATGGATAGACACCGTCACGATCCTTGACCAACGCGCGAGAACTGTAACTGATGCAGTATTTTGACACATCGTTGCAGACCACGGTGTACCTAAGACGATATTGACAGATCAGGGTCCTTGTTTTGAAAGTGAAGAATTCACTTCCCGTTCTCAACAGCTGGGGATTACGAAGAACTAAACAACACCATATCATCTACAAACTAATGGTCTAACAGAGAGAAATAACTGTAAACTAAAGGAGTGGCTGGTCTCGAAGAGAGGTAACTGGGGGATATAGTACATCGTGTGCCAACCCAGGAAAAAACAAAGAAGTCACCATTTCAGTTGACGTATTGGAGGAAACCACGACTACCAATACACAGCACAATCTGGCCCCTTCACCAGGAGTGGGGTATGATGAGGCAGTGAACGGAACGGAAAGCACCATTCAGGAATGTGAAGCGCAGACATAAAAAAGACGCCATGAAATCAAAACAGGGAGAGAAGATGCAATGCACAACTTTTGAGGTCGGCGATCAAGTAAAATATAGAGAAAAAAAGACGCTAGTAGCTGTGGGCCAGGTTTATGGATCCCCCCCTAAGTGGGGAGGGCCAAAAACTGTCGCCGAGAGACGTGGTCCCGTTTATGTCATCAAAAGAGGAAATAAACAGAAACGAGTTAACATTAACCAACACGGAAGATCTGTGCAAATGGTGATTTGACGATAAGGTGTACATAATTTTGCTATAACAGAGATACCAAATTGCAAATAAGCATTCCTTTACCAAATCTATTGTCTTCTACTGTTACATATCCATTTATGTGTGAGGTTTTGTATTCACGTATATCTGCGCCAAGCACATATTCTTTTTTGTTGACGAGATTTGTTCCAATCTAACGTTCCATGTTTCCGTTTAAACTTACGAAGCCAGTTACTGAAAGCAAATATGAATTGTCTTTATGTATGATAGATTGATCATCATGTATTGAATGTTGCCTGATTTTCTGTCTTACCTCTTCATTTGTTGTTAGCATTTTATGCAAAATGATGAAGTAGTTTCCTGTTGTTTTTTTTGTTTTTCGCATTACAGATGATTCCCTTGTACTGAATGATTCTTCTGCATGTCTTCGACGTTTGTTTACATCAAGTTTATTTAATATGGATATGGCTATTCAATATCTTTTTCGATCAGAAGATATAAGTGTACAGACGTATTTAGGTAAGTTTTCCTAAAATACTATTTCTTTTACATAACACTTTGTCTTGAACGAAGTCAGTTTATTATTATTCCTTTGCGTGTTCCGAGTGGAACATAGGGATGGCTTCAAAAATATATCTCCACTTTGTTCTGTTTTCTGCCGTCCTTTTCAGCTGGGTCCACGATTGACCAAACTCTCTCATATCTTCCTTACACGATCTCCACCATGTCACCCACTCGTTGCTTCCCATTGGGATTGCACTCGGGGGCCTGGCGTGCGATGTCATTCGGTGACCTCCTCAGTCTATGTCCGATCCATCTTCACTTTCTCTTGGTTGGTTTGTTCCACTGAAGAGTTTCTTATTACTAATTCTTTCTGGTCAATTGTTCTTCAGTATGGAGACAGCGAAGGTGGCTGCTGTTGATGAAAGTCTGCAACAGACTGTTGGAAATCCTTTTCGTGACACCCGGGCTAAGTTTCTGACCCGTATAGAAGCAGTGACTAACTTCACATTCGTACTGAACAGAATCCGAATTTTTTTTCTTTATTCTAGCTGAGTGTAGAAGATTTCCAAATTGGTTTCAGGTTGATTAAGGCGTATCTTGACTTTCCGATTCGGACTGGTTTTGATATCTTCATCCGTTCCGCCTGTAGTTGAAAAGATGTTTCCTAGATAAGTTCAAGAGGTAACCTCTAGGAAGTCAGTTGGTGTTTAAAAATTGTTTAATTGACATAATAATGGTATACATTTTTAACCTCTTTGGCTCGAAGTAGTCAGTAACTATCAACTGTCCACCATTATGACTCATTTGGCTTAAGCACTCGACTCCTGAGGAGTTCAAATCCTTAACCCACCTACCTCAGCCTGGCCGGTGGCACAGTATTATCAGCCTTCACACCACGAGGATGTCTTATTTCCTGGTAAGTGTGAAACCTGTCGCGGGTAGATGAGTTCTAACATTCATGGGCATCTGCAGCTCCACTTGCAACAATGAATTACACATATATCATGGTCCTCAGTTTAAGCAGCCACACTTATTGCCTGAGGACCACCGTATTGCTTAAGCTGTAGTTTTTTAGAAAGCAATTTGAACCTAAAGGACTAGTGGCACCCGAATTGAAGCTCCTAACCCAGGTGACTATATCTCTACTGTCATATTATTTTGATTTAGTAAAGGAAGAATATTGTTTTTAGTTCTTAATCTACATTTTTGATTGAAAAACCAAGATGTTTCATATCAAATTGAAAGAATTAGTTAACATAAAGTAGTAGTATGTACCAGTTGGCATTAACTATTTCGAATATGCTAACTTATCTGAAATATAAATACGATCCTTTGCTCATTATTAATAATAATAATCCTAGTTTGAGAATCATCGGCAGTATGTACCCACCACCAGGGAGGAACCTGAAAGAAACAACCTCTTTTACCTAACTGGGAAGCATCGTTTCAACTACAGGCGGAACCGACAAGGATATTAAAGCAAGAATCGGAAAAACAAGACAAGCTTTCATTTCTCTCAAGTCTGTGTGGAGGTCAACAGCACTCAGAATGAAAAATAAGATCCGAATTTTCAACTCCAATGTGAAGTCAGTGCTACTTACTATACGGATCAGAGACTTGCACTGCGCGTCATAAAGAGCATCTCAAACAAACTACAGACCTTCATCAACAGCTGTCTTCGCTCAATACTCAAAATCAGATGGCCAGGAAAGATCAGCAATAGGGATCTCTGGGAGCGAACCAACCAGGAACCAATTGTGAAACAAATAGGCAGGAAGAAATGGAGATGGATTGGACATACTCTGAGGAAACCATCAAGTGACATCACTAGACAAGCCCTTGAGTGGAACCCGGCCGAATAGGAAGCAGCGAGTTGGTCGTCAGTGCGAGGGTGACTTGGAGGAGGTCATGTGAAGAGGAGATGAAAGCGTGTGGGCAGACTTGGAGCCAGGTGAGGATAATATTTACAGTTATCCGGTGTCACAAGGAGAGATAAATGTTTTAGATTGGGGGCGAAGGCCAAGGGAGGGCGAAAGTTACATAGGTAGAACGACTTGGCAAGCCCACCGCCGCCTTCTTGTAGCATGGTCCAACGTGTTTAGGTAAAGGAGTCGTAAAGCCAATTAGAAGTTCCATACTGGCACACTTAGTGGATAAGGAGCACAAGATTGCCCAAGTTCCAGCTTTTACAATTCTATACAAGGTGCCACCTTAACTCCCTAGGTGGGGGTACGTCTTCGGTTGCTAAGCATAGCTCAATCTCTGTGTTCAGAAAAAGTTTCTTCAATCTCTCTCCCTCAAGAGGCCTTCATCCCCTACCTAAGGTAGTTATCTCTCCTAGTGACACCGGATAACTTTAAATATTATCTTAATTGTATTTTTATTTTATTTTATTTGTAATGCTAGTTCTATCATCAATATCGTGCTGTGCTGTAGTTGTACACTTTATTTTTTTTCACAATTTATCATTATTATTTTTATCGATTCCACACACGTAACCCGGGGTTCGACCCCCGGCCGACTCACTCCTAAACCTCGATAAATCGATAGCAAGGCCAGTAAAAAAGGGGAAGATTGGTTGTGGAACTAGCAATATATTCTAAAACCACTAAGTGATGACTTATGGCTCACTGAAGGTTTAAGCTCTTGGAAAAAGGAATATCGTTCACAAGGGTAAAAGATTCAGAATATGTATAAAGTACATCTTGAAGTTAAGATTTTGAAAGGAGTGAAGGAAGAGGAGTTTAATAGCCATAGTAACGAAAGGAATTAGATAAACCGCTTCTGTATGCCAAGAGTTTCTGCAGTGGACAGAAGATGTAACAGGAAACCCTTCAAATGACTTGACCTTGCCTTATATATCATACTTTGAAGGGATTTTCTATTGATGCGGAATGAGATGTGTAAGGACACAAATTGCTCAAGAATTTAGCTATTTAGTCCGTCTAATCTCTCTCATATTGACAGATGTTCTTGTACACGCCGAGACAATATCCTACTGGTATATGGCCTATTTATTCAGTTGCAGCAAGAGCCAATGGAGTGATAAATGCACATGGTTGTTGCAGACAGTTGAAGACTGTTTTTCTTTGCCAATTTGGTGAATACGAGGTTGTGTAGAGAAGGTGCGGCGGGGGGGGGGGCGTAGAGATCCAACGAAGAAGGCTTTTTTTCCAATTGCTTTCAATAATCTACTTCGAAGAATTTCAGCTGTTGTGTATCATTCTTAAATTTCAGGTTTTACAGCTAACTTCTTCATTGGTACTTATGTCTTTTGCGGATTACATTGATTGAGATGGTTAGGACATGTGTTACTGATGACCGACTAGCCATCGCCTTCCTCGATTACGGGGAATGTTAGCTGACATAGAATGGATCAGGTTGGAAAAGAGTTAGTTAGCGGCTGTCAAACCAAAACGTGGCCTGATCAGTCAGTGAAATCCACAACAGTTAGTTTAAGTCAGCCAGCCACATAGGGAAGTGTAGAATGGCTTCCTGGTTGTGGTCTTCGGGGTGGTAAAAACCAATGGCTGCTGGAGACAATCGGTGATATGGCTCCAAATCGTTCTCAGTGGCTGGCGCAGATGCGTCCACTCCTTGTGACTTATAATACCCAATAAAACTGCATTGTTCTTCGATATTACTATTCTTTTTGTCTCATATCTCTGTTTTGAATCTCTCCTTGCTTTCTTCTCTTGCTTTGTGTGCTATAAGCAGGGAGTGTAGTAGCTGGAACTGCTGCACATCGGTGCAAAGGTCTACATTAGAACCAGTCAGTCAGTCAGTATTTTGCGGATTAGTGAATCTTAGTTTTCATATGTTTATTTATTGATAAATACTGGCGGATGATAACCCTCTTGAATCAGAGTGTTTCAGAAGGACTCTAGTTCTCTAATCTGACATGTCTCCTGTGCATATGCGACTGATTCCGGTGAGCAGAAGAGATAATATATAATTAGGCAGTCTTTTTCTACTTAATGGAACAATTACTGTAGAAACTAGGACAGCTGTCCATTCTATTTTAGTTTTCAAATATTAAAAAAATCATAGTATGGTGGCTCATTACTTGAATGTGCATGTAGGATGTAGATATTTTTGAGTAATGTCGCCTAATTATTCATTTAAGTGGAAATGACCATACTGGGGAACAAACAACGGGTGACTGCTTTCTTTAAAACTTTTCAGATTTACATGATTGAAATTTTAAAAATAAAAACCCTTCAAGGTAAGACGACACACAAAATGGGAGGAAGAGAGGGGTGACAGAGAAAAAATATTACATAATCATGAATTGTTATATATCAGTCTCCTATAATTTATTTTACTAAACAATCTTTCTTTGTTTTTGTAATGTTTTCTATGAACAGCTGATCGATTATTTGGTTTCCCAGAATCTGACGTAGACTTCTACTTATTACAACTTGTCTCCTTGTATGATAAATCGCCTACATTAGCTGAACATTTAACTAATTATTTTATTTATCGGTAAGTAATACTATTATTAATGTTATTTAGATTTGGGTTTTTGTAGGAATTCTCACTAATTTCATTTGTTAGATTTTGTCGCGACGCAACAGCAGTTAGAAAGATCATTGGAAACCAGGAAGCACTGGACAGTCAGCTGTTTCGTCCTAGTTTGGGACTCTTCAGCAATACTCACGCAGTTAACCCACCAGCGATCGAACTCATGATCTTCGGGTTGCATGGCAAAGCTAGATAACCATTCAGACACTTGAGCCAGAACTCAGTGACTTGTGAGGTAGTGCCACCCGCAACCAATGCCTCGTTTGAGCATCCACTTCACCTTGACTTAGAATATACAGACGTGCGTCGGTGGCACAGTGGTTAGGACTCTCGCCGACCATGCACATGGTCCGGGGTTCGATCCCCTGCCGACGCACACCCGATATCAATGGTCGGCCTGCCAAATTGGGGCCACCGATATCACATGCTGAAAATTCCATACGTGTACCAAAAATACGGTGTGGAATCAAGCTGTAATCAAAAATAACGATATAGTCCTTCTAGGTGAAGATGCTGACAAGATACAGAGTCTTGTGAACACTTTGAGCTGGGCAGCAATCTTCGAATGTTTGATATGCGATTCGCTCCCTTTGTCAAATATAATATGATGAGTGCTACAGGTCTGACTGGACTACATCGACTCACTCCTAGCTTAAAGATAAGTGGTTGGTGGGTCGTGTTGACCACTTCACTTATTTGGGGAGTTGCATCAGCCAACGCCAGTGGGTTGATCTGATTGCTGACGAAATCTCAGCACGGATACAAAAGGTTAATGTGGCATAGGCCAACTTACTCCATTTGTGGCTCAGACCCGGGGTCCGGCTGGCTATCGTCCAAAGGGCGTGTGTATTGTTCAGTAGTTCGCACTGTCCTCCTTCATGGCTGGCTGTGAGTTAGACATGGCCATGCAAAAGGGAAGACGTGAAAAGGCCAGTAAGTTGTCTTTGATCATAAGTATCTGCGTTCTATCTCCTGTGTCAAGTGATATAAAAAGGTGAGAGCAATATTCAGTTAGTTTGGATATCAAAGCAAGGATCGGGAAACCAAGGCAAGCTTTCATTTCTCTCAAGTCTGTGTGAGGGTCAACAGCACTCAGTATGAAATATAAGATCCAGATTTTCAACTCTAATGTGAAGTCAGTGCTACTCGACGGATCAGAGACTTGCACTGCGCGTCATAAAAAGCATCTCAAACAAACTACAGACCTTCATCAACAGTTGTCTTCGCTCAATACTCAAGATCAGATGGTCAGAAAAGATCAGCAATAGGGATCTCTGGCAATGAGCAAACCAACCAGGAAGCGATTGTGCAACAAATAAGCAGGAAGAAATGGAGGTGGATTAGCCATACTCTGAGGAAACCATCAAGTGACATGACTAGACAAGCCCTCGAGTGGAACCCGAAAGGGAAGCGGCGAGTTGGTCGTCAGTGCGAGGGTGACTTGGAGGAATTCATGTGAAGGGGATATGAAGGCATGTGGGCAGACTTGGAGCCAGGTGAAGACTGTAGCAGAGAATCGAACGCAGTGGAGACGCACGGCTGAAGCCCTATGTTCCTCTAGGAATTAAAGGAAATAATAATAATAATTCAGTTGGTTGGATGTCGAGTGCCAGGTAAGGGGGGAGATTAATCTTAGGGAGATTATGAAGTTACATCGATTGAGATGGTTGGGACATATGTTACGCATGACCGACTAGCCACCGCCTTCCTCGACGACAGGCAATGTTAGCTGACATAGGATGGATCAGGTTGGAAAAGAGTTAGCTAGTGGTTGTCAAACCGAAACATGGCCTGGGCAGTCAATCAAATGCATGACATTTAGTTTAAGTTAGCCAACTAGCCACGTAGGTCGATGTATACTGGCTTCCTGGTTGTGGTCCTCGGGATGGTAAAAACCAATGGTGTCTGAAGACAATTGGTGATATGGTTTTCATTGATCGCTAGCCGATGCCAGTTCGTGAATAAATCTACATTGAAATTATCACTGCTATTGTTTTAATTTTTGATAGTAATAATAATAATCTTTATTCTGGAAAAAGACACGTTTATACATAATACAGAATTTCTAGCAAGTTGCATTACACGGCATTTACTCCCTTATCTATAGAATCTTTACATAATACAATAATCGATAACACATCGTATGAAGTAAATATTGTTCCATTCGCAGTATTGTAACGACAGAAGGCAAGAGTCAGGCAACAGATTGTTTATTAATTGAAATCAACACATATTTATAGATTTTCGTGTACATTATTATTATAGATTATTGTTAGCTGACAAACACAGTTTTCTGATTGGTTGTTTCTCACTGAAAGTTAGTCTTTCATCTCTTTTTTGCTGTCTCTTGAGTGTCAGATTATCTGCTATCTGCTAATTGTATCCGCCTACGCAAAGTCTGCTGTCCGTCTTTGATCTTGTTTTCACATCACTAATATTTGAGACATTAACATTGACGTCAACTTACTGCCTACCAATTTGGCTAGCAGCCATCTCTCACCACAGTCGGTCGGTCGGTTTGTCGGTTTTCGACATAGAACTTTGCACATATGTGTGGCAGTTCAAGTCACCACACTCCATTTAGCACACAAAGAAAGAGAAGAAAGTAGAAGAAATGCATAAAATAGTCAGTAAACAGAGGTGTGAGACAAAGGAATAGTAATAACGAAGAACAAAACAGTTTCATTGGAAATCATGAGTCACAAGGAGTGGATGCATCTGCCCCAGCCATTGAGAACGATTTTGAGCCATATCACCAATTGTTTCCAGCAGCCATTGGTTTTTACCGTTCCGAGGACGCCAACCAGGAAGTCTACACCTTCCTACGTGGTTTAAGCTAACAGTTGTGCATTTTATTGACTGGTGCCATGTTTTGGTTTGACCACCGCTAGCTCTTTTCTAGCCTGACCCTATGTCAGCTAACATTGCCCATTGTCGAGGAAGGCGATGACTAGGCATACGTAACACATGTCCTAACCATCTCAGTCGATGTAGCTTCACAGTCTCGTCGACTGATTTTCCCTCCTTACCTACCACTCGGCGCCTAACCTCAATATTGCTCACCTTGTTATTCCACTTCACGCGGGAGATAGAACGCAGACACCTATGATCAAAGACAGCTAATCTTTTCATGTCTTCCGCTTTCAATGGCCAGGTCTCACAGCCATAAAGGAGGACGGAGCGGACTGTTTAGCAGTACACCACAGTATGTGCTTCAATGCTACTCCGCAATACTCTTCCTCGATTTCCTTCGAAAACATCTTAGCGGTAGGCGGCAGAAAGTTGTTCGCGATTGTGCATTGAGTATAGATTGCGATTGATTGTAGATTTTGTTGAATAACACAGAATTTAGGCAACCCGGTGATAATACTTAAGTAGACCGCCGTTTTGTTTAATCATGTGACGATGGTAGTCATGTGTGTACACTCATGCACACACACACACACATTCCTCTCTTGTCCTATTGTCGTTTGTTTTTGGACAGTGTGTTGTGCCGCTTCTTTGCATAGTAGATAAGTCCAGTTCATTTTTTTATATTTTATAAATCAAAATATTTATCGATTAGATTTGTGCTCTTTATAATAACCTGATTCCGTTATTTCTTTAAGGCGATCATTTTATATATGTATGTATAGTCCGTCTAAATGCGCCACATAATTTGTTGGCATATATTGTGTGAGGTTACAGTTTATGAGGTTGAAAAGGTCATTCTCTGCCACAGTAATTACGGTGGTAATTATTCACATTTATAATCTATATTACTATTATTGTTACTTGTCACTTACTTTTTTCCTTTATCGATCTCAGCCTAGACTAAAAAGAAAACTGTTAAGAACTTATCATGGTGGTGGGTTTTGTACCTCATTTAGTTGGTCCGACATGATATCATTTGTTTGTTTCATATTTCACGCCTTTAGAACTGGTTCTTTTCATTTCCTCCTCCTCTTCTTCTTCTTGTGCTGCTGTCTTTTTCCTCTTGTAAACCTTCAACTGATACAGTTGTGCTGTATTGGGTATCTCTATGCACGTGTAGTAACTATTTCTCTAACCACTGATGTTTGCGTTCTATTTCCGTTGTTAGGCGGTGGTGGTGGTATAATATGGTGAGCAGTATTGGTATTGAGGTTAGGCGTAGATTGTCGGGTAAGCAAGGAAAGTCAGTGGATGAGGTTATGAAAAGCTGCATTGGGTGACATGGCTAAGACACGTACATCGCGCATGCGAGGCGACGCTACCACCTTCCTTGACGAGTAATGTGTTAGATGATATTGGTTTCGGTGGGTGATGAGTTAGGCGTAGTGAAATCAAAGCCTGGCGTCAATCTATGAAGTTTTTGACTGATATCAGGAGGTGTAGAGTAGCTGGTTTTGAATTTCTGTTTTCTCTACCTTTGTGTGCTACATTGAATGTATAAACTCGAAGTGTTATGCACTTCTATACGGGGTTATATGTTGTGTATTATATATCAGTAACACAACGTCCTTCTCAATGGCTCTGAAACATGGCCAATACGAGTTGAAGACATGAAAAGCTTGACTGTTTTTGATCATAGATGTCTACGATCTCTTTCTCACGTTAGGTGGTATAATAAGGTAAGTGATGTTGACGTTAGGCGTAGAGTGTTGGGCAAAGAGGGAAAATCAATCGACGAGGCTATAAAGTTACATAGATTGAGATGGCTAGGTCACGTGCTGCGCATGCCTAACCATTGCCTCCCCCGACGGACGGGCATTACTAGCTGATATAGGTGCAGGTTGGAAAAGAGTAGGTGGTGGCCAAACAAAAACATAGCATCAATCAATCCATGAAATCCCTGACAGTTAAACTGAGTCAGGTAGGGAGATGCAGACTTCCGGGTTGGGGCCCTCGGGACTCTAAGAATCAATGGCTGGAGACACTAGGTGACATAGCTCAAAATCCTTGTCAATGGCTTACGCAGATGTATTCAGTCTCTGTAATCTTTCATATTCCTTTCTACCATTACTCATTCTGTTTCACTCTTATACTTGTCAAAACTCTATTGATTCTCTTCACTCATTTTCTTGTCTACCTTGTGTGCTATTTGGAACGTGGCAACTCGAACTGCTTCACTTTGGTGCCAAGTTCTATGTTGAATCCAGACAGAGACAGACAGACAGTAACACAACACATCTTCATCTTCTGTGTTAAAGACAAACAATACTTTATAGTTGTCTCCCGTTAATATTAACCCAACTATGCAGTCGTCCACCTGTGAAGGAGAACAATAGAATAAAGTATCCCACTTATGTAAATATCGTCATCACAAAAATGATAGATGAATAATATTTGATAAGGAATATATACTACTTAGAATGAATAATTGATCTGATTATTTCCATGCCATTTACTTAAAGTAGTTTTCTGCAGATATTCTAGGAAAATAGATCAACTGATCTGAGTGTGAATGTAGACAGTGATTTTCTACGTTTGTGCGCAACACATTTCAAATCTATTTCACAACAAACATGTAGAATAAAATGTCGATGGATAAGACATGAAAGTAACATCATGCGTTATGTCGTGTAGAGTAGAACTCGAATGTGATGTGATGAGTTGGGCGTAGAGACCCGAGGGTGATATGGACGAGAGCATATACGGTGAAAATAGAAGCTTGTTAGCAGTGGTAAAGAAGAGCAGTGAGAAAGTGATAACAAAGAAATGAGTCTATTGGAAATGAAATAGCATCCGTTGTGGAGGTATCGTTTCAAAAAAAAAATGATAATGCTGGACATTTATTGCCACTCTAATTTTTTTTACTGAAAAGTTGCTTAGCACCTCGAGCTCAGATCTATGGGGAAAAAAACAATATGACTGACTATCTAGTTGTTTTTCTCTCTCACACCCACTCACACTTAACCCCTCACCTTCCCCTCTTCAATTTTATTGTTTTGTTTTTTTCAGGTGTAAAAAATCAGTTTCATTTGCAATTAATCTTGTCTGGTTATTGGATGCCTTCAATGCTCAGTCAGCTGCTTCGCACAGGCATGTTTCATCACTGATACTTAATCGTCCCTCTTCTGTACCATCATTTGTAAACTCTACAAATCCCCTGTATTTAACTAATTCAACTGACAGCTATCCAATTACCAGTGTCACTTATCATAATAATAATGATCTTGTTAATAATGGCAGTAATACTACTACTACTACTAATACTAATAATAAGTTGAATAAGCTTAAAACAACATCATCAGCTATTGCATCTTTACAAGAATTGGAGCATAGTGTTGTTGACGGGGACAATGATAACAATGAATGCTGCAAGGCTGAACAAACACCAGTTCCTACACCTGTACCAAATGCCCTACTAGCGACGACAACAACAACAGCATCAATAACAGCTGCCAATGACCAAAGTGTTTATTCAGTACAAGCCTTACGTGAGATACTTTTACCTACGGATAATACGATTCGGACTAGTCTGATCCTTTCATCTATATCTCATGAAAGGTAAGGCGTGTTTTTGTGCTGTGGTATTTTGTTTTATTTGAGTCTATTTCAAGTTTGACTGTGGATTGATATTATATAGAGAACCAGCGCTCTTTCGTCCTAGTTTGGGGCTCATCGACAGTAGAACATCCACTACAGACAGGGGTTCGGACCCAGGACCTTTTGGCTACAAGGCAAGTTTGTAGGCCATTCAGCCAGTGGGACCCCAACTCCTCAATGGCCAACCAATGAATCCTAACTTCTACCAAGTCATGATTTTAGCGTGACTGTCACCAAAGCCCATGTCATTGGTGAGTGCGTTTGCGCTCACTCTTAACCTGGTGGACCCCACTGGTCACGACTTTTTTAGGAAAAAGAACAATGTAGACACCAAAGAGAAGTTTCTTTTTGACGGATCATTTTCAACAGGTGTATAGTCGTATTTATATTTCACAAATAATTCATAAAACCAATCAGATACTGATAAATTTGTCCTCGAAAATGTAGCAGCGAAGACAGGATTCCAGGTGACTATAGAGAAGACGGGGTTGAGGAGGATAACCAACCAACGGTGATAACAAACAGCACCAATCACTGTCAACAGGAGAAACTTGAAAGAGGTTACTTCCTTCACTAATGTAGGAAGCATTGTTTGAACCACAGGTGAAAAGCACAAATGAAGACGTCAAAACAGACGGAATCGGAAGGGCGAGATACGCCTTCACCAACTTGAAACCGGTTTGGAAATCTTCTGCACTCCGCACGAATGCGAAATCAATCAGTTCTTCTATACGGATCAGAAATTTGCACTGCATGCTCGTCACGGAAAGAATTTCCAACAGTCTGCTGCAGACTTCTATCAACACCTGCCGCCTTCATTGGCTCCATACTGAAGATCGAATCGCCAGCCGACCAGAAAGAATTGGCAACAAAAAACTCTTCACTCGAATGCTCAACAAAATATGTAAGAGAAAAAGGAGAGGGATGCACCGGGCATAGGTTGAGGAGGCTGTCGAATGACATCGCGCCATCGCCAGGCCAGTGCTTGACTGGAACCCAAATTTGAATTGATGAGATGAGTGGAGTGCTGAGGGTGGCATAGATGAGACGAAAGCTTATGAGCAATCGCAGGACCAGAAGAAGAGGACAGCACTAAATAGAACAAAGTGTTGTTGAAGGACAATAAAAATAAATAATCTGCTGGTTTGAATCTCTGAGGTAATAGGGGATTTCCACTGTCATCATCCCATGTGTTCTCTTAATCATTTTCGTCAACAACAACAACGAAAAAGTGAAGAATTAAACTCGCAGATGTTCAGCTAGATGAGAGTGAGGAAGAAAGACAAAAACCGACGCTTATCTCTTTTGAACGATAAATATTTCTCTTGGTTATTGATTTCCTTTTCAGAATGATCCCGTTAACTTTCATGCTTTTGTGTAGGATATTTTGAGTTTTAATGCTCTTTATTATTATTATTTTTCTTGTAGTTACAGTACAGAAGTATATAATGATGTTTCTACTGACGAAAATCATAGTGTAAATAATATTTCACCTCCTACAACTAATTCTGAAGTCTCTCCAAAGATTCAGCATGCTGGACATAAACGAACTACATCTGATGTGACAAGTGAGTGTAACGCTTTCCTCTATTTTCTTTTTCTTTTGTGAATATTTGATTTGTACTTGTACTCATCAAACACTGTCGCGATAAGGAGGGTGGTGATGGGTGCGTATGGCATTGCGGTAGAGCAGAAGTGTTGTTACCACCCATCAGTCATCAATAAAGATACGTAGTGAACAAGGGAGTGGATTAATTCCTCTATAGATTTCATCAAGAATCGACATCAGCCATAGTGAGTGGCACTGAAAGCCGAGACAACTGTTTCGCCTTAGACTAACTACCGTGCATGTAGAACCTTCAATTTTCACAGCCAAGCACGTCCCCTATTCAATTACTGGGTAGGAATCCATCCACCTCATATTTTCTAACCTGTGTGTTGATTCGCTGCATAGTTCCGCTGATACCAGCCAATGTTATCAGTGGGTATTCGTCTTCCCTGTCGACCTGATCGGCCTCACCAAATTATTTGGTTCTAAATCGAACTTCAAGACACCTGTCCTGATGTTAAACCTCTAATTTTTGTCATTTTCTTCTTATTATTATGGCCACTAATAGATGCGCCACACAAAATCTCATAGTTTGTGCTCGGGCTGGGATACTACTACCCTGGCACCGAAACTGAAGTAGATGGTTATCTTAAGGAGGGATCACCCGAAGCCTTTGACTTGAGGTGTGACTCACAAAGAGATACGTTTCCACGGTTTTACAGTGTCCAAAATAGGTTTATTTGTCATTCTATCCTTTCGAATGCCATAATCTATCTACACCATAAGTTTAGAATCAGGGATTTCCAGCTCTATGAGGTATGAGGTAGTAGAACTGCATGCCCACCAATTTGGTTTTAAGACTGTTTTGAGGAACAGGCCTGCCATGTAAACTCAGTGATGAAATAGGGCTTACCTGACACAGAGGCCACATGACAGGAGAGCATTTCGAGATGAAGACCGAAGTCTACTCACCTTCGATCGGTCATAATATTCACCTGGACTCGAACCCCAGTGGGGGTGCGTATTGCCGATGGATCCCCAACTAGGACGAAACAGTTGCCCAGTTACTCCTCCTGTTGGTTTTCAATAGTCCTCTAAAACTGATATCAATCCGTGGTTAGACTTGAAACAAATCAAATCCCTTGAAACAAGCTCCTGGAAATTCATGAATAAAATGTTTTTCTTCTTTATTATTCCGTTTCAAGACCTGCTGAAAACAAGGTAACACTATTGGACATGATCCTACCAGGGTGAAAATGCACCTAAATAGTCCCCGACTTGGGTTGATCTCTGAAGAAATCTCAGTACGAATACAGAGGGCTAGTTTCGCATATGCCAATTTACGCCGTCTCTGGAGTAGACGACATCCGGCTATCGACTAAAGGGCGGGTGTACTGCTCATCAGTTGGCTCCGTCCTCCTTTATGGCTGTGAGACGTGGCCATTAAGAGTGGAAGACATGAAAAGATTAGTTGTATTTGATCATAGGTGCCTGCATTCTATCTCCCGTATGAGGTTAGGCGTCGAGTGCTAGGTGAGGAGGGGAAATCAATCGACGAGGTTGTGAAGTCACACCGATTGAGATGGTTAGGACATGTGTTACGTATGGCTAGTCATCGCCTTCCTCGACGGGCAGTGTTAGCTGATATAGGGTCAGGCTAGAAAAGAGCTAGCGGCGGTCAAACGAAAACATGGCATCAGTCAATGAAATCTACAACTGTTAGTTTAAGCCAGCCAAGAACATAGGGAGGTGTAGACTTCCTGGTTGGGGTCCTCGGGACAGTAAAAACCAATGGCTGCTAGAAACAGTTGGTGACATGGCTGAAAATCGTTCTCAATGGCTGGCGCAGATGCATCCACTCCTTGTGACTTATGATTTCCAATGAAACTATATCGTTCTTCGTTATCGCTATTCCTTTGTCTCACACCTCTGTTTATTATCTATATTATGCATTTCTCCTACTTTCTTCTCTTGCTTTGTATGCTATAAGGAGGGAGTGTGGCGAGTTGAACTGCTGCACATCGGTGCAAAGTTCTATGTCGAAAACAGACAGAAAGACCATTCCAGCAAGTGCTTCTCAGCTTTCAATCGTTCTCCAGCTGATGTATCAGGTCGTGACTTTATCGTAGATTGGTAGTTAGTCATTGAAGAAAAAGAAAAAATAATTGGAAACCAAAGTATACGACAAAGAAGGTGAGAGTGAGACAAAAAGGGGAAGTGAAAGAAAGAGAGAGCGATGCAGACAAACCAACAAAACATTTAAAGTAACATTTATCTTACAATCGATAAATATTTTTCTCTCTCTCTCTCTCTGCGTATCGATTTCTTTTTACTACCTTATTAAAGAAATGTGATACTCATCTGATGGTGGAGAACAAGAGAGAAAGAGGGAAAGAGAGAGATAGATAGAGAGGGAGAGAAAATGAAGACGTCGAGTAAGCTTAATGAGTGAGAATAGGCAATTGATTACATCACCATCATGTCTGCATGTATGCATGCATTCAACATGCAAACTAACCGTGGAATAATTACTTTGTTTTTCACAAAATTGAACTAAACTCTAAAGTGACCTACATCTGTTATGTTTGTGTGCCAGTCATATGACGGCTTAAATACACTTTTGTGTGTGTGTTTTTTTTGTTTTTGTTTTACTGCTGACCTTGAAAGAGTTTGTTAACGGATTCACGTGTGCGACAGGTGTAATTTTAACACAGACGACAGGTAGATGATTATGATATTATACTAGATGCTAGATTTATTCATTAGTTGAGCCAATAACTAACTAACTAACTATTTATCTCTTTTTCAAGTTTAACCACGGATTGATATCAGTTTTAGAGAACTATTGAAAACCAGCCACAGGGAGAGTCCTGGACAGCTGTTTCATCATATATTGGGACTCATCGGAAGTACGCACCCATTGGGTTTCGAACCTCTGGGACCTTCTGGCTACAAGGGGAGCTCGTAGACCATTCACCCACTGGGACTTGGCTCAATGGCCCATGAATTCTATCTGTCTTATCGGGAGTGTGGACAAATGTTCGCCGATGACATGGGCTGTGGTGACAGTTGCTCTAAAATCACGAATTGATAGAAGTTAGAATTCATGGGCTGAGATAGTGTTAACTGGCATATGTGAAACTAGCCTTCTGTATCCGTGCTGAGATTTCGTCAGCAATCAGATCAACCCTCTGTCGTTGGCTGATGCAACTCCCCAAAACAGTGAGTGAAGTAGTCAACACGCTCCACTAACCACTTCGCTCCGTATTTCTAAGCTAGAAATCAATGTAATCCAATCCTGCATCACCTCATCATCTTACATTTTATAAAGGGAGCGAATCGCTTGCCAAATATCCGAAGATTGCTGCCGAGCTAAAGGTGTTGAGAAGACTCTGCATTTTGTCAGCGTCTTCATCTAGGAGCAGGACTATATCATCATCTGCATATTCTAAGTCAACGCAACTATTATTTCCTGATGGTGGTAACAAGTCAATCCCTGAGTCGCTGAAGTTAGCGGTTAGGGTTAATTCCATTAGGACATCTATGATGAAACTGAACCAATCAGTAGTACGCAGTTTTACTCATTTATACCTACCTGCTTTCTTGATTATCATTGGTAATGTCAAACGGATCATACATTGTTGATCTGAATAATTTTTTGGTTTTGCGAAGGAAACTATTTTGATGTGGTTGTGTTCTCTCAGCTGGATAGTTAGTTAATTTGCGAAGCTTTCATTGCCACCTACTAGGCAACATCTTCAGCGCATAATTCAATCTGTTGAAGTAAGCCTTCACAGTTCTCCATGAGTTTATTAGTCATCTCTCCCGGTGACCTTAGGCGTGATTGGTTGTTTTTGTGTGTTTTCACACCCTTTAGGTTACTTGTTTTGGAACTGATTGTTTCTTTGACTCTTTGTGTGCGAGGTTTCCTTCTTATCGGTTGATACATTTTGTCTATCTCTATGTGTCTATTGATTGATGATTCACTGGAATACCAGGCAGGCTTCTAAAAGTTCTCTAGCATTTTTGTTGTTTCCTCTGTCTAATATTTGAACGTTGGTTGTCCCAGTCGAATTGATGTCCGTGGTTGTCTGTATGCAGTGAGGTGATATGAGGGAGTGGATATCATGTCTTTTGACGGCTAGCTTATGTTCGTGGATACGAAGACGAAGGGGACGTCCACTTTGGCCAATGTAGTGTTTTTCGCAGTTGATGCAATTTATTTTGTAGATGATGTTGGTTGTATCTACTTTTGCTGTTGAGTCTTTTGGTTGACATAGAATTGAGTAAAGTGACTTTGTTGGTTTGTGTACGACGTCAATTCCTAAAGGTTTGAAAAGTCTTGTAGTTCAAGTCAAAGAAATAATGAGCGACAATACAAGTAACCTAGAAGGTGTGAAAACACACAAAAGCAACCAATCACGTCCAAGGTCACCAGGAGAGATGATTAATAAACTCGTGGAGAAATCTAAAAGCTCACTTCAACAGATTGAAGTATGCGCTGAAGATGTCACCCAGTAGGGTGATGAAAGCTTCGCAAATTAACTATCCAGCTCAGAGAACACAACCATATCAAAATCATCCACCTGAGCTACAAATCTTCTCTGTCATATCTGAAGGAAACTATGGTCACCTCCTCGAACTGTACGAACAAAGAATTTCGTTTGGTTTTTTTTGGTTTAATTTTGTTAACTGTTGGCTTGTTATCATTGAATCTTTTATCTTTTGTCTTATTGCTGCATTATCATACACACAGGTTTAAGAACTAATCTTCATCATCGTCATTATAATCATCAGTCAAGACGTCGAGTGATTGACCAGTTGAATCTTATCAATAATGATGACGCTGACCATAATGGAAGTGATAATAATAATCATAACAGCAATAAATCGACAACCACAACCACCACCAATCATCATCCTCATCACCATTGGTCGTCATCTCAAGATTCAGCTGTTTGTCTGTCAAATGTCGATGTAGTCGATGGTGTAGGCTCAGTAGCATCAGCAGCAACAACAGCGACAACCGCAGCAGCAGCAGGTGATCAAAGTGTTCCTAATTTATCTACTTTTATACCATTGAATCGTGTCTGTCCATCATTCAGTGATCATATTACCTCATCAACATCATCAGTATTAAATAGGCATATTCCATTGGACGGCGAAGATGACGATCATGATAATACGAATGCTTTACAGCGTATCCATGCTCTACGTCAAAGTTCACGTAAATGGAGTGTTAGTATGAATAAAGTGAGTGGAAATTGTTGTTGTTGTTGTTTTTAATTATACGATTAATTAATTATTTTGCATAATTGTTCCCTTGGGTTCCGAGTGGAACATAGGTAAGGAGGGAGGGCTTCAACAGCACATCACTTTGTTCTGTTATCTTCTATCCTCTTCATCTGGGTCCACGATTGCCCACCTTAGCGCTGACGACCCACTCGTCGCTTCCCATTTGGATTCCACTCGAGCATTGGTTTGGCGATGGCGTGATGTCATTCGACGGGTATCCTCAATGTATGCCTGATCAATCCATCTCCTTTTCTTCTACATATTTGTTGAGCGATCGGCTCTCGCCCGTTGGTTCGTCAACTCCCAGAGTTTCTTGTTACCTTTTCTTTCTGGCCATTCGTTCTTCAGTATGGAGCCAGCGAGGGTGACAGCTGTTGATGAAAGTCTGCAACAGGCTGTTGGAAATCCTTTTCGTTACAGGCCATGTTTGTGACCCGCATAGAAGGACCAACTTGATATTTGTGTTGAACAGAATCCGAATCTTGCTGTTTATACTGGCTGAGTGTAGAAACTTTTCAAACTGGTTTCAGACTGTTCAAAATGTATCTTGAGTCTCCGATTCTGACCTGCTTTGACGTCTTCATCCATGCTGTCCGCCTGTGGTTGAAACAGTGCTTCCTAGATAAGTCAAGGAAGTGACCTCTTTCAAGTTTCTCCCATTGATATTGATTGGTGATGTTTGTTATCGCTGTTGGTTGGTTATCTTCACTACCTCCGTCTTCTCTATATATTCACCTGGAATCCTGTCTTCGCTGCCAGATTTTTCAGTCAGTTTGTTGTTTTTTGCCTGTAAGTCCTCGACTTTATATGACACTAGACATAAATCATCCGCAAGGTCCAGATTTTCTACAGTCTTCTTATCGGTCAGTCCAGCGTATTCCTGTATTCTTGCTTCCCACCGTCTGATGCATAGTCCAGTCCACTACAATTAGGAATATCACTGATGATAATAGGCAGTCAGCTTGTCTTACTCCTGTATTCCGTTGTGGATCACCTGACATGTGGCATTGTCATATAGGCAGCTGTTGAATGTGGTTGAAAAAGACTTGGACCCTGCATTGCGTAGTGTTGAAGTAGTTACCAAATTACGTCTCGTTCAACGCTGTTGAAGGCCTTTTCGAAGTCCTATTATATTATTAATTGTTATTATTATTCTCCTTGGCTTCTGAATGGAAGATTTAGTTTCAGCAATACATCCCCATTTCACTCAGGTCTCTGAATTCGTTTACAGCTGACTCCATGATTGCCTGTAAACTTTTACTTCCTCATCACAGACTCTACATCTTGTGATCCTTGGTCGTCTAACTCGTCATCGTTCCTTAATGGGGTTCCATTCGAAGGCCTGCCGTGTGGCTTTGTGTCATAGTTCACCCGGTGTACTGCCAAATGGTTTAGTAATCTGTAGCTCTGCTGAGTCATGTTTTGGTGTGACCAACAATCACTAGCTCTTTTCCAATCTGATCCATCCTATGTCAGCTAACGTTGGCCGTCATCGAGGAAGGTGATGGCTAGTCAGTCATGCGGAACACATGTCCTAACCATCTTTCTCAATCGGTGTAACTTCACAATCTCTTTATGATTGATTTCTCCTTCTTATCTACCACTCGACGCCTAACCTCAATATTGCTCGCCATATTATACTATTTCACACGGCAGATACAATGCAGACACCTATGACTAAAGACAACCAGCTATCCTTTTCACTTCTTCTACTTTCAATGGCCATGTCTAACTCACAGCCAACCATAAAGGAGGACAGTACGAAATACTGAACAGCACACTCACCTTTTGGTCGACAGCCCGTCCACACACTTCCGAAAGCACGCTGAGCCCTCCACTTCCTAGTGAAATATTTGGTTTCAAGCTTTTTTAAATTTTGATTAACAGTGTTGCTTTTATGGGGTGGTAGGGTTGCTGGCCTCTCTCTCTTTCTCTCATTCAGCGAGGACGCTGACAAAATGAAGAGTCTTCTGAACACCTTGATTAGCAATCTTCGTATGTTTTGGCATGCGATTCACTCCCGCCAAATGTAAGATGATGTTACAGAACTGGACTACACCGACTCCTAGATTAGAAATCGGGAGTGAAGTGGTAGAGCACGTTGACCGCTTCACTTATTTGGGAAGTTCCATCAGCCCCAACGGATTGATCTCTGACGAAATCTCAGCACGGATACAGAGGGCTAGTTTAGCATATGCCAGTTTACGCCGTCTCTGGCGTAGACGTGATATCCGGCTGACTATCGACCAAAGGGTGGGTGTACTGCTCATCAGTCCGCTCCGTCCTCCTTTATGACTGTGAGACCTGGCCATTGAGAGCAGAAGATATGAAAAGATTAGCTGTCTTCGATCATAGGTGCCTGCGTTCTATCTTCTCCCGTTTGAAATGGTATCATAAGTTGAGCAATATTGAGGTTAGGCTTCAGTCGAGTGCTAGGTAGGTGGGAGGGAAAATCAATCGACGAGGCTGTGAAATTACATCGAGTGAGATGGTTAGGACATGTGTTACGTATGCCTAGTCATCGCCTTCCTCGACCGACGGGCAATGTTAGCTGATATGTGGTCAGGCTGGAAAAGAGCTAGCGGCGGTCAAACGAAAGCATGGCTTCATCAGTCAATGAAATCTACAACAGTTAGTTTAAGCCAGCCACGTAGGAAGATGTGGACTGGCTTCCTGGTTGGGTTCCTCGGAAGGGTAAACACCAATGACTGGAGACAATTGGCGACATGGCTCAAAATCGTTCTGAATGGCTAGTGCAGATGCATCCACTCCTTGTGACTTATGATTTCCAATTAAACTATTTTGTTCCTTATTACTATTCCTTTGTCTCACACCTCTGTTTACTGTCTCTTTTATGCATTTCTCCTCTTGCTTTGTGTGCTACAAGGAGGGAGTGTGGCGACTTGAACTGCCGCACATATGTGTAAAGTTCTATGTCGAAAACAGACAAACATGCAGCATACCCTTTTTTCTGAGCTTCTTATCATCACCTAATAGTGAATTAGGAGAAGTGTTTGAGAATGTTTCCATCGGGAATTGAACCCTCACCCACATGAGTGTAGTTGGTGTGCATATCGCCACCACTGAACAACACACTGATCCACTCCAAATTCTATCAATCATTAAAATATTCCAGTGTATGAATATTTTGACGCCTAATTGTGTGGCGTGTATGCATCATCAGCTTGCAAATGATGTGAATGCATATTGGTTGTGTTTTTTTATTTAAGTATTGTTGACTTCAATCAATGCGCTAAGATGATGATGACAAGTCTCGAGGTCAGCGGAGAACAAAACAAAAGCCGGAGGACAGAGAGGCCAGTGTAGAACAGAGAAAGAGAGATAGATAGAATAGCACACAGTTAGTTGTGTAATTAATATACACACATACACACATTAAATTCACCACATTTTATAGACGTATGTTATATAAATATAATTAATGTGAGGGGTGAATAACTAATTCTATAAGCTGGTGACCAAAAATTGGTCATAAAATATTTAATTACACTGTCTGTTATGATTTAATGAGTGACCTATTTTGGAACGGACAGTATATTTATTGCGTTCTATTCTACTATTTTAGTAGGGCAGTTATAGTATAATAGAACTACTATTCACCACCACCTGATATTGTGTCAGTCAGATTTAAGACGATTTCACTCATTTCTTAGGTGAAGTTCATTATAAACAGAGAGGAGAAAAAAAATACAATCAGGAATATATTATTATTATTGTTCCCTTGGGTTCCTAGTGGAACATAGGGCTTCAACTGCTGCACGTCTCCACTTGCTTCTGTCTTCTGCTGTACTTTTCACCTGCATCCATGTTAGTCCATACTGTTTCAACTCCTCTTCACATGATCTCCTCCATGTCACCCTTGGACGTCCCACTCGCCGCTTCCCTCTCGGGTTCCACTCGAGGGCCTGACGCGCGATGTCACCCAGCGGCCTCCTTAGAGAGTGTCCAATCCATCTCCACTTTCTCCTGCATATTTGTTGTTAGCGATTGGTTCTTGTTTTGTTTGTTCCCATAGTCTCTTGTTGGTGATTCTTTCCGGCGGCCATCTGATCTTCAGTATAGAATGAAGACAGTTGTTGATAAAGGTCTGCAACAGTCTGTTGGAAATATTCTTTGTGACCCGTCAAGTTTCTGATCCGTATAGAAGAAGTGACTGACTTGACGTTTGTATTGAAAATCCGAATTTTGTCGTTCATGCTGAGTGACGAATATTTCGAGGTTGGTTTCAGGTTGATGAATATGTTTCTCGCCTTCCCGATTCTCGATTTGACATCCTCGTCCGTTCCTCCTGCAGTTGAGACAATGCTCCTTGCCTAGATAAGTGAATGAAGTAACCTCTTTCAAATCCCTCCCGTTGATGGTGATTGGCGCTGGATGTTGCTGCTGTTGTTGTTGTTGGTTGGTTATTTTCATAATCTCGTTTGTTTATCAAGTGATAAAATATATTCCAAGTAATCCTCTTGATAACAGTAGTAACAATAGTAATAATAATAGTAATAAGATTAATATAAATGATAGCAGGAGTATAAAAAGTGACAGTAGTATTAGTAGTAGTTGACGTAGACGGCAATAAGAATAGAACAGACAGCATCGCAACAATCAAACTGGATAGAAATCTTAACCATCTGTATTAATAGTTTTAATATGACGTATTTGACTACGCTTGTCATGTGACGACGAATAATGATGAAGACAAGAAATGCAAACTGACAAGTGGAAGCCTAATTGCACAAAGTTATAATGACGATTTAATAGACTAGTGAGTGCATCTCTCTATCAATCAATCACTGAAATTGACATTGGCTAGTAGTGCCTTGAAAAGTCTCCAGTCAGACAGTGTCTATACCTGCCGCCTACGTGTCACAAACCAAATAGTCAATCACTTTATGGATTGATGTCATGTTTTAGTTTGACAACCCCTGTTACTATTTTATATA